CAGAATTATAAAACTGAATGTCTGAAGAATTTTTGAAGTATTCGTCAAAAGTTTATTACGGCGCGTGTGACTTCCACGAATTCCCGAAGAATTACAATTCGAAAGGGCAAAAACCGTGAAGAACATTTCGCGAATTCGCTGCGCTGGGTATAGGAATTCGAGGGCCTCTGTTGCGCGATAAAAAGAAAGGACAGTTGCAAGTTCAGCGTACGCTTCTTCGATTTCCCCCGATGAGCTCCATACTAATTTCTCGCGGCGGTGGCGTCCCAGAAACTCAAACAACGTATAAACGAGCCTGATTACTTCTTAATTATGTCCGGTATCCCGCGCCGTTCTTCCGGCGACGGCGCGATTGTGCCCGGAGCGGCCGTTTCCGGTGCGGCTCACTCAGCCCGCTAACAATCCCACGTTTCCCAGCTGAAACCATACAATCTATTGCCGCGATCAACCACGTAGCGAACGGCTCGCGTATCATTCCGTTGACCCACACACTTGACGTTCAACGATCAAGTGCGCGGGAGATTACGATCGAGCGATCAAGATCTCCCGCGATACGGCGACGTCGCGGCGCAAACAGAGTCGTGTACGCTACCGAAGTGTCGCGCGACGTCCGCGCGTTGCTCTCCTCCTCCAACGAGGTATCCCTCTCTCCCTTCCTCCGGCTCCTCTTTTCTTTTTTTCCTTCTTTCTTTTTTTCCACCGCGGTTAGGGAGAAGGATTGCGAACCGGTTCGCGTCTATTTGGCTACTTTCTCGGCTCGCGTCGCGGCATGCCGCCCGCACTATATGCGGAAATAATTTGGTACACGTTGGTTCACGTAGTAACACGCAATCGTGATATAATCACGATAATCAAGCATTATCATTACGCGAAGGAAAGAGGGAGGGGGGGGGAGAGGGGGAGCGAGTAAAAGTCGTCGCGCCGGCAACAAACGAATCCTTGGAACTCGCAGGACTCGGAGGGGCGGCCCCCGGGAGAGAGGGCCAGGCGACTTTTGAGGCGTCCTGTAACGTCGGCGCGGCTGCGAGTTGACCGCGTCTCTCCCGCTCGCGGTACCGTTCGTCCTTCTCCCTCTGTCGAGTCGATCTCTCGCCGTTTTCTCGCCTTGTCTCCTCTCGCTTCGCCGCTCCGCGTCCCCGCCCTTCCACGGCGCGATGCTTTCATTTTTATCGGTGACGAGCGCGGGGCCCGAGCCGCGCCGCGCGCGTCGGTCCGTAGTGCAAATCGGATCGGAGCGTCGAAGGGAGGAGGGTCGAGCGCCTACTTTTCCGCGGAGACGGCGGGCTCCCCGGTGTCTCGTCGACGAACACCTTTTGACTTCCGACGAGGCGCGCGCGCGCGCGCGCGCACGCTCGTCAACAGCCTTGAGGCGTCGATTTGAAATAAACGAAGGATGCGCATAATGATCATTGTTTAGCATCTTCCAGTAGCCTTCGGTAAAACGTCCGGCGCACGTTGTTCTCCCACGGAGAACGCGCGGACAGGCCTTCACGCTCTTGCGCGCAAAACAACTTGCAATTAGAAATTGTAGCAAACTGGCGTAGGAGAGAAATTGAGCGGCCCCCCGGAAGGTAAATCACTCTCGATCGTCGTTTCCTGGAATCGTCGAAGACGAGCGGGGCGCGTTAATGTGTCGTCTTACGGTTCTCTGCTTATCTAAGGCATTCTTTTTTTTTATCTACAATGCATTCGTAGGCGTAAGGAGTTAACTTACGTCACGGTAACTCGGCGAGAGGAAAGAATTGACGGGCCGCGCGAGATTTTTCGCCGACCACCGAGGCGCGTCGCGCTGCGTGAAGAGGAAAATCCAACTGGAGATACAACGAGGTAACGGCAATACCTAACCGCCGCTCGGGGTCGCGAAAATTTAAATGCCCTTCCGAAAACGCGCAGACGACAAGACGGAAGAGTCGAGGAGGACTCGGGGGAGGCTTTGAAATCCGGAGAAACTCGCCAGTTCTCGGTGTCCCGAGTGTGAACTCCGTCAACTCTCGCCCAGAAAAAGGAAGAGGAAGCGAAGAAAGGGGGTAAAAAAAAACGTCGCGAGCGATCCCCCCGAGATTTCACGAGAGGCCCCGAAAAGTGCGATCTAACCTGTCGCGCGCGCGTGCGTGCGTGCGCGCGCGTCCCCTAACCTCTGAGCCGCGCGGCGGATCCGTTCGCGTGGGAAACTCGGCTTACTCGGCGCGCGGACCGCGGTTATGACCGCGTAACGGCCAACGGGGGGGCCGGTCTACGTGCGACGTTGTTGGTCCGTCGATCGTACTCGCGGATCGGCGGAGGCAGGCGCGGCGCGACGCGAGTCAGCGACGGTGATCGCGCGTAAAAATGAAATGGGGCATTGGGTGAAAGTACTCGCGGCGGCGGCGGTGGCGGGCGAGCGCGCTCGCTCGCCTGCCTCTTATATCAGATCAGTACGGTAGGCGCGCCTCGTCACAGCACGCGTCCACCTCGCGTCGTTGCTCCTCGCCAGCGAGCTCCCCCCCGATGACCTCTCCGTCGACCGCTGCTCCGCTTCACGGGAATCCTGCTCCGCTCCGCGCCCCCCGGACTATGCTGCCGACCTGGTAGCCTCGCCGTCGCTACCCTACTCGCTGTCTGAGAGCAGCTTTCTTTACCTTTCTGCAGAATGCTGCGCAACCCGTGGTCCCTTTGTGCTCTCCTGTCGCTGGCCACTCTGGCCCCGGCGCTGGAGAACGGCCTGGCCAGGACGCCGCCGATGGGATGGCTGGCCTGGGAGAGATTCAGGTGCAACACCGACTGCAAGAACGACCCGGACAATTGTATTAGGTGAGCGGCCCGCGGGCGGCGTTTGTACACGTGGGTGGCGTACGAGGGCAGGGGGAAAATTACAGCGGGTTGCTCTTCTGTCCGTTTCGCAGCGACCGCCTCTTCCGGACCATGACGGACATCGTGGTGGCCGAGGGCTACGCCGCGGCGGGATACGAGTACATCAACGTGGACGACTGCTGGCTGGAGAAGGAGAGGGACTCGAACGGGCAGCTCGTACCGGACAGGGAGCGATTCCCATATGGCATGAAGAGCCTGTCGGATTATGTAATTCCATTGCAATCTCGTTACTCTGCCTCGTAACGCGCCTTCCCGGCTGGACGACGTACCTCATGAGATGCTTGCTTTCGTTTCGCCAGGTGCACTCCAAGGGTCTCAAGTTCGGTATTTACGAGGACTACGGTAACTACACCTGCGCCGGATACCCGGGTATATTGGGCTACTTGGACATAGACGCTGCCACATTCGCCTCCTGGGACGTGGATTACGTCAAGCTGGACGGATGTTACTCGCATCCCGTCGACATGGACAGAGGTAGGTCGCACGGGTCTTCTCTCAATTAAACGAATCGACATTAAACCGACACGATATTTTTGCGCAAAGGCTACCCCGAGTTCGGGTTCCATCTGAATCAGACTGGGAAGCACATGATATATTCCTGCAGCTGGCCCGTCTATCAGATCTACGCCGGCATGAAGGTGAGCGCGCGATGCATTTTCTCAGGTCTCCACCTTTTTTTTCTTCCTCCCACGGAGGCGGTCACTGACGCGCGTCTCGTTTTCAGCCCAACTACACGCTGATCGCGGAGCACTGCAATCTCTGGCGCAACTTCGACGACATCCAGGACTCCTGGGCAAGCGTGGAGACTATCATCGACTACTACGGTAACAATCAGGACGCGATTGTACCCAACGCCGGCCCCGGGCACTGGAACGATCCGGATATGCTCATCATCGGCAACTTCGGCCTGAGCTACGAGCAGAGCAAAACGCAAATGGCGATCTGGGCCATACTCGCGGCGCCGCTGCTCATGTCCGTCGATCTCCGGACGATCAGGCCAGAGTACAAGGCCATTCTGCAAAACAAGAAGATTATCGCCGTGGACCAGGACACGCTGGGCATTCAAGGTCGACGGATATACAAAGTGAGTGGCTCGGGAGCTAAAGTGTCAAGTGCCTCGGGTATATCGGTGCGACGTACCAGTTGTCGCGAGTTAGTCGAGACGCTGGATTAACGGGTAACCCGGTCGCGTTAGCGTGTCCCAACGCTTGCGCCGCGACTCACTCATTACTTACGATTGCAGCACAAGGGCATTGAAATCTGGGCAAGGCCCATTACCCCAGTCTACCAAAACTACTACTCGTACGCGATCGCGTTCGTCAACAGGCGGACGGACGGCACGCCGTCGGACGTGTCGGTCACGCTGAAGGAGCTGGGTCTGCAGTATCCCGGTGGATACCGAGTGGAGGTTCGTAGCGTCACGCGCGACTCGTTGTCAGTCTGGAGAGAATGTGTTTCCACTGGGGATGGGGGGGGGGGAAGGTTCTGAAGTGATCGGTGATCAATGCGTAACTTTTCAGGACCTGTACGAGGACGTGGATTACGGAGTGCTGACGCCGCAGACCAAGATCAAGGTCAAGGTGAACCCGTCCGGCGTAGTGATACTCCGATGTAATCTGAACATAGACGACGTGTTCCGCTACTCGCAGTTTGCGCCCTTTAATCAGGTCTTTAAAGTTAGGCAAAATTCATTCGAATGACCGCGCGTCTAACGTATTACCTTAATTTCTATCGGCGCTATCATATGCGCGCGTGCGTGCGCGCGCGCATCACGTTCAATATTAACATAATCTAATATATAAGGAAGAATAGGAAATAAAGAATTTTGTAAACTTTACTCGCCCGCATTGTTCCAGGCGGATATCCCGTACTTGTATTCACGCTTTGCCTCCGTATTTACGTTTCTGCGTTCAACGCCGGGGACCGACACGTCGAACGGAGGCTCGATTTGTAAAAAAAGGAAAAAAATTCGTAAACGATCGATCCGCGTTACAGAGAAGAGCCGCCTTTCCACAAGAGGCACGACACGCGCGCGACTCGCCGCACGTGCGCGCGCCAAACGCGTGCGTATCTCTCTGCATTGGTCGCCTTCCGGCCGCCTTTGACGTCCGCGACGCGTCACCGGGGAGACGCGCCACGGCATACTAGAAATGTACAATCGCGGGGACGCGTTTCCCTATTACAAGCTGGCCGTACGGATACCGCGAGCCGCGCGTTCCTCGCGCATCCGCCTACGCTCCCCCCGTCCGCCCTGGCGGCCGGTAGGAGAGACGTATCTCATTACACCCACTCTCTCCTCCGCCCTTTCCTCCCTCTTACGCTGGTAATGCGTCACAGCGACGCCCGCGTCGCGCCGCGTCGCGTCGCGTTGCCTCTCGCGCGTGCTCTCTTCAACCCCCAGCGGAACCGCAGCCATTGTCGGAGGGTCGGTCGGTCGGTCGGCTCGATTCTTCGCGAAACGCGCGTAACACACCCTTCGTCGCGCGAACGTCCCGTGCGGGGAGAAGGAGCGAGCGAGCGAGCGAAGAGCAGAAGAGAGAGAGAGAGGGAAAGGGGGGAAAAATAAGAGGGCGAGACTCGACAACGCGAGGGCGATGTGAGAGGAACCCGCTCGTCGGCGCGATGAGACGCGAACGTCCGCGCGACGCCGATCTCGCGCGAGCAGCACCAGCACCAGCGCTAGTACCAGCCGACGCTGCCACCGCTGCCGACCCCGACCCCGCCGCCGACGCCGCTTCCGCCGCCGCCGCCGCCGCAGCCGCCGCCGCCGCCGCCGCTACCACCGCGCTGCTGCACCCTCTTGCCGCCACGGCAGCGTATCTCGCCGCGAGCATGAAGATTCCGCCTCTCTCATGACCCAGGTGAGCCCCGGGACGAGGATACGCTTTCGGACAGTCACGCCAACTCGGAACCGTCTTCAGCCGCCGTTCGCGTCGGCCTCGCGCCCGATCAGCGATATGGCGGCCGTCGCCGGCCCGAAACGGACTCGCGTATACGCACAGCGGCTCGGTTCTCCAATTCGTTCGAGGGAGGAAACGTACGCGCGAATTCGGCTCTTGCGGAACAGGCCGGATCGGCCGCTCGCACGGTTCTCCGCCGACTCTCAGCTTTCGGGGATTTTCGCTATTTCTCCCTCGAACGAGTCGAAGAACCGGAGGAAATTGAGAATCTCGCCCGTGCGGGGGATCCGCGGCGGTACGCGATAAACGGCTGACACGGTCTTATCGATGCCGAGCGCAAAGTGGTCGATAACTCGGCGGGTTGACGCTGGCGTTGCCTCCCGACTCCGATTACCCGTACGGTCCTCCGAATCCTCGGATTCCCGCGGCGGCCCGCGCTCGCTCGCTCGATCGCTCGCGCGATCGTCAGATCGGCCGAGTCGGACGGCCGCCCCCGGCGACGGCTCGCAGTCATTGACGTAGAGCGGCAGCTCGCATGAATGAATAATGGCGCCACATCGAATCGTTTTGAACGGTGACGCGCTCGGTGCCGCGTTACAGAGACGGAGTCGATAGTCCGCGGCCGCTCGCGTCGATTACACGCAATCGCGAAACTCCCGCGTATCCGCGCTCCCTCGGGTCTCTCTTCGGGTGCTTCCCGGCGAGAGACGCAGATTGGCACGGAGTGCGGCGCGGAGAATCGTTTTGTCCCCGTTTAATGAGCGAACGACCGAGACAAAGCGACTCGCTGCGTTTCGTGTCTTCGGGCCCCGAGTTTCCGACGGGCGGAAATCGACGGGCGAAATTCCGACGTCGGATCGTTAAAGGCGTCGCGGGACGCTCGTGGAAAAGTAGATATCGATTGATGTACTAATTAAGCCCCCGCGGATAAATTTGCTCACCCCCTCCCTCTTCCTCCCGTTGGATAACGCGACGGGTTCGAGATGCGCCAGTTGCATAATTTTTATTATATAATTCGCCGTATCGCTTCCACGTGTGTATAACATTCTTCAATGGTACCCATGTAATCTGCTCTCACAATTAATTCCGCCGCTTGTTTACCTGACATTACGAAATATAATGTCTTTACTCTCCCTCGCCATTGTGTTCCCCGTTGAAATAACTCTGATCTAATCTCATCGTACTCGTATTAGATACGCGCGATAGCGATTGCTGCACCTCGCACGCTCAATTAACACATAACCCGGACCGAAACGAGAGAGAGAGAGGGAGGAGGGAGAGACGGATGAATACGCGCGGATGAACGTGGTGAATCCAAGTTGTCACCGTACAAATCGGTAGAGGCACTCTCTATTTATCATATTTCGTATGTAGGGCGGCGCAGATAAATCGATACGCGGCACTTTCATTCATGGCTGCCTCTCTCACGGTTGGCACATTGCCGTTGCTCTACGTACCACCCACGCCGTCGAGACCAACACACTTACGTGCCAGCTACGCTACGCGGAGCGCGTAGTCCAACCGTGCTGGCACAGCGGTTCTCCGTCCCCCGGGGGGTGGCGGGGGGGGGAGGAGGGTGGCCGAACGCTTCGCCGTGTGCAATCTCGCGTTATCCTATAACGGTGAACGCTGACGACATTTCGACGATGTCGCGCGGAGCACGCGGTAACGCGGCGGACGTCCCAGGTGTATCCTTAACGGCAATGATACCGCGACGTCCTCTGTACTTACGTAGGATGCACGAAGGATGTCCTAATATACTGGGGACGTCGTTCCTGTAATAATACCTTTGCGATATCTTACAAATATTCTCAGGATATATTGGTACACGGAGAGAACGCTTTTTTAGGATCCTGAAAATTATGTGATCGTGGGACAACGTGGCATTTTGAAGAATTTCATGCGAGCGTTTTGAAATTTTACCGTACGTTCTACTGGTAAAATGTAGCGTCCTAATCCCACGCGGCGAATACACGCGGAGAGAATTTTCTCTTAAAATTTATACTGAAAATTGTGTGATCGTGGGACAACGTGGTATTTCGAAGCTTTTTACGAGTTTTTTTTTAAATTTTACCATATATTTTACTAGTGAAACGTAACATTCTAATCCCACGCAGCGAATGTACACGGAGAGAATTGTCTCTTAAAATTTATCGTGAAAATTATGTGATCGTGAGACAACATGGCATTTTGAGGAATTTTATCAGTTTTTTTTTTAAATTTTACCATATATTTTACTAGTAAAATATAAAATATAAATTTTAGTAAAATATACGGTAAAATTTCAAAAAAACTGATAAAATTCCTCAAAATGCCATGTTGTCCCACGATCACATAATTCTCTTTTACTAGTAAAATGTATTGTAAAATTTCACAAAGCTCTCATAAAATTCTTCAAAATGCCGTGTTGTCCCACGATCACCTGATTCTCAGGATAAATTTTCAGAGGAACTTCTCTCCGTTTACATTTTTAGTGTGGGATCAGGATATCCTTGGGTACATTCTAGACAGATTATTCGCGCGGTACCGTTGCAGCTAGGGCGAAGATCTCGGCGTTCGTGGCGCAAACGCCTCTAGCACACGAATCTGAAGATTTTGGCGAGCGCTGTAGAATATGGAGATATCTCCGGAATATTATTTAAGTTTATTCTTACGATTAGTCTGTGCCGTGGATGTGCGAAGTATGCCGCTAGAGCCGATCCCCAGGTCGTTTCGCGCGCCCCCAAATATCCGGGCGGTGAAAAATGTGCGATCTGGAAGGAGCGAGCTATGGCGGTGCGCCAATCCCCCTCGCGTTTCTTTTCAGCCGGTGGCACAAGTCCAATTAAATAAGTTTGCAATCTACGCTCGCGCGACGCGATCGGCCCTTAGTCCTTGAACGGACAGGCGACGTTTCGTGACGTAAGCACTCGCGTGGGATGCATTTCACATTCTATTTATAAGTCGTTGTCATTAGTAGCATGTAGACGAGTCTTTCTTTCTCTCGCTCCGCGCGACACAGACGCGCGGTAGCCTGACAATAATTGAGCCGTTGAAATTGATTGGAAAGCGAGGCGCGGCGGACGTGGATTACATTTCACGCGTCATTTCTCCGTTCGAAAGATTTGACGATCCCCAAAGGGGATTATACGAGGGTCTAAAGCCCGTGTCACGCTATGTATTGTGAGATCGCGGATCCGCAATCTCGGTCCAAGCCGCGATCCGAAGTGTGACACGGGCTTAGGAGCAGGGCATCATCCCCCAGCGACGTGTCAGAAATGAATTGAGGCGCTTCCGCGTTCGAGGAATGGACTTATTAGACGTGGAGTTTAGTTCTCCGCGATAATCGCATCCCTCGGAAGCGAGCAACAGCGCGCACGTCGATATTACGTCGACGTACGTCCGCCCGCCCGTCCATCCGCCGCGCCGGCGACCGTCCGTTCGCGTTGAGCGACGACGGTTGACATTAGTCGTCGCGCACGAGGCATCTGGTGGCATCCTTAAATTAGTTTAACTAGTGCATCGCGAGAGAGGAGCTAACCCAGTTATGCGAAAGGGGGATATCGAATAAATTCAGCGCGCAGCCGCGTATATCGGAAGCCCGCGAGCGACAACGCGCGCACACACACACCCGGCCCTTCCGGCGCTCGCTCGCACGCGACAGCGGCACGAGGGGTGCCACCGGGGAGGGTTGGATCGCGGCAAGTCGGCTCGGGGCGGGGATGAGAGTGCCGCTGGCTCTTTGAAGTCGGTCCACCTGCCTCCGACGGCGTTCGCCACGGCACACAATGCGGGGGTGGCGGTGGCGCGAGTGGACGGCAGCCCTCGCGCCAGCCGGATTTTCCGCTCGGTGACGCTCGCCAAAGGATCTATTTAAAGGACCGGTTGTCCATCTCCCCCGGTCGTCTGGCGTCTTCGATCGCGACTCCTGACTCCCGAGCTCCCTTTGAAGACGCCGCAGATCGGCGCCTCCCCTCCCCGGGTGTTCCCGGTCATCGAGTTCGCCCCCGAGCGTGCCTCCCCATGGAAAGGAGCGTCGTCGAGCTCATGACGTTCCTGGATGTCTGCCAGCTCTACCTGCACACCAGAAAGAAGTCCCGGAGCCTCTGCACGCTCTGGGCGATCGTGACGTTCATCCGCACGGAGGACACCGGCGACTTCCTGCGATGGTGCCGGGTGTACACGGTGCCCCGCCTGCGGTACCGCTCGGATCGCGCCAAGAAAACAGAGAACGCGGAGAAGCTGCGGCCCGACAAGCTGCTGCTCAGACTGCTGCAGGAGATCTTCTACTGCGGCTGCCTGCCGCCCTGCGAGATCGGTCTATGAGCGGAGACGCGACGTGGGCTATCGCTGCGCCGAGTAAACGTGCGCGAGGCAACGCCAGAGTCCCACGCGTTATTCGGCAGCCGCCCGCCGCAACGGGCTGCGGTTCTAACTGTTCTAAGAGTCGACGAGATAGCGCGAGTAATGGAGATGTGCCTCGTACGACTGGATCTTCAGTGTCTGATGATGTTCTTGTGCGGACGTTTCTTGCCGACTCAACACTGGCGAAACTGCACGGAGAGAATCTTCTCTTAGAACGTAGTCCTGAAAGTCGTGTGATTGCGAGCCAGCGTGGCATTTTCAGCAACTTTGCGAGGGTCTTTGAAAGAGTGAGAACGAGCGTCCACAGGCAAATGGCCCCATTCTTCTCGCACTCGATTTGTCAGTCTCAGAGTGTACCTACGTAATGTTCCAGAGATGTCGGGTACACTCTGAGACTGACACACCTGCGATCATCTTGACGAGACCTTTCGTACCCACTTTGTGACCAAAATTGAATGCGAAAGAAATGGGGTCGATCTTGGTCTCACTCTTTTACCATACATTTTTACTAGTAAAACGTGTACCAAAAGTGTAATGTATGGTAAAATTTCAAAAAGCTCTCATTTCACAATTTTTTGAAATGCCGTGTTGTCCCACGATTACATTTCGATAATTTTCAAGACAAGTTTGAAAGGAAACCCGCCGAGAAACACAGTCTCAAACGCGCGTCGATAATCAATTTAATAAAAACGATACTAAATAAGCGTTCATCCTTTCAAGAAATTTCTTCCTCAGGAACTCTTTAGAGAAATTGCGAATGTACTGCGAGAAATGCCGTCATATAAGTAACTCGTTACACTTTAGCGTAAATAACTCGGTATCCCGGTGGATCTCCGCGATTCTGAGAGATTGTTTTCCCCGTCTTCGGGCGCCTTCAATCTCGGGACTTCAGTCGCTTTCCGATCGACTTAAAGAGGTAAATGTTTCTGTGCAGCATCGTGAGCGCGCATGTGGACGAGGGTAAATCACCTTAGCGAGAGGGATGTCTGAGAGCGACGGAGAGCATGCAGCTCGCTCGGTGGCCTTAGAGCAAGCCTACGTCCACGAAGTATACGAGCAATGTGCCGAGAAGACCACGCAAAGTAAACACTGGCCACGAGTATATCAGTTCCTTCAGGAACTCGAACCGGGTGCCCTCGTCTGCGACATCGGTTAGTCCAAAGTGTACTTTGCGCTTTTTCTTTAGACAAATAAGTTGCGTTGACTGCCTCGCAAACGCTCGGGTGTGCAAAATTCTGGCCCAGTATTCATCGCATAGTTAACAGAGTTTGCGTTCCGCGTGCTTTGTAATATTATATTACCTCTTCGTCTCCACGTAACAACGTTATGTCGGCATCATCTAGGTTGCGGCAACGGAAAATATCTCAGCGTAAATCACAGCATTTTCAAAATCGGGGTGGACCGATGCAAGCGTTTCACGGACATCGCGCGCGAGAAGGAAAACGAGGTGCGTGTGTACATATCAATTGTATGTGGAATAGAAGTTTTCCTATTTTTTAACTACTTTAGTCTCGCTTAATCTCCGTTTTACATTTCGCAGAAATTGCATTTTCTGCGGCAAGTTTGCGCGGGAGCTGATTTCGAATTAATTCGCGCGAATGATTCACGGTTGAATATTCACGGAATCGCTTGTTTGTGTGCAATAAGGTTCTGATCTGCGATAATTTGGCCCTACCATTCCGAGAAGAGAGCTTCGATGCGGTGCTGTCGATCGCCGTGGTGCATCATTTCGCCACCACGGAGAGGAGGGTACACGCGTTGAAGGAGCTGGCGCGGGTCCTCAGGATCGGGGGTCGACTCGTTATATCCGTCTGGGCTATGGAACAAAAGCATAGGAAGGTAAGAAGAAGTCCCACCTCTTGACGAATTTCTAATGAATTTCTCCCTTTGCGAATTACATTATTATATTCGCAGTTTGAATCGCAAGATGTTTTAATACCGTGGCCCAAATCGCATTGCACGAGCGCAGCGTCAGACGGGACGAAGCATTCGGGTGCATCGGACGGTAACGAGAAGCGAGATGATGATGCTGCACAGAAATATCCGTCATTCTCCAAGAGGTGAATTTTTGAATAAATTGTCTCGCCGACGTTAGGGTTGATCGTAACGCGTTCAGCCTCGTCCTCGTGCAATTTCCTGCAAATATGTAGGTCGTAACTCTGTCATGGTTTCTTGTTCCAGAAATAGCCAACGAAAATGTAAAAGCAAGAGTTATTGGATCGATCCGATATTCAGCTTGTCACCATCCACCAGTAGCCTCTCTAGCCCGAATGAGACCTGCTATAGCTGTTTCCGGCGAGCGTTGCAGGTAACTAGATGAGTGAGTGAATGAGCGAAAGAAACAGACAGAGAGTGATTACCAATAAAGCTGCAACATTTTCAGCTCAAACATCTGAAAAATTCACTGAGGTGGTTTTGACAGCATTTGAAGATCTTCCTCTATTGATCTTGTTTTACTCTCAAATTCATTTGATTAAATGTCAAGAGTCGTTCACTTCAATTTTCTTACCTGACCGCTGTCTACTTTATTTTGAAAACCAAAATCAGGTCGAAAGAATTGAATTCCTCCGGTTTATTTCGACATTATATTTATGGTGTATTATGCAGTTATTATTGTTACCCACGATTAGCAGGTTTGCACGATCATTTTCAGAAATTAGCGAGGAGCAGACGCGGAGGTGGCGGTCGCGCATGGTTTCCTGGAAGTTGGCAGAGCGGTACCAAGAGTCGGCGGCACTACGATCCCGAGGACTCGACCGATGTGGACGAGCTGCCAATCGAGCTGCGCCGTGTCGAGACCACACACACGCTGACTGTGACGAACAAGCATTCCACGGATACGCTAAGCATCAAATCCAAAAGCTTGGGCGATATCCTGGAGATCGAGCGGCTCGATTTGGTGCGTTCCCGGTCCAGCATCCCATTTTACTCGACGTCTGAACTGATCCTGGACGAGCGATCAGTTTCGTCATCGTCGAGCGGCTCAAAGCCGCGGCTGGTGAAGCAGAAGTCATACGTGGAGGAAATCGGTTTGGAGAATCTTGAAGACACTGCCATTGAAAACCTGATCAAGGACCTCCCGGACTTCTCCTACCAGTCGTTGCGCAAGCGCAACGTACCGTTGAAACAAAGCTCGATGAACGAGGAATTGATGTCGGCGGAACGGCTGGAGGAGAAGGAACGAGTGCGTCGGAACATCATGAAGCAGGCGTCGCTGAACGAGGAACTCATCTGCAAGTGGCGGACGTTCGAGGCACTCAAGGATTCGATCAGCCCGGTGAGCGCCAGTCGGCGCTTCCAATTGCTAAAGAACGGACTCACCAATAAAATCAAGCGCTCCACAACGAATATCGAAAAGGTCTCTAGCATGTCTATCAAGAATGGTTTTGTTCGAATGCTGCAGGGATGGAAATCCTGCGAGAACGAATCAACGTCCGCCGCGACGGCGGAGGCAACGACGAAGTCGAAGTCAACGGACAATAAGGTGCAACCAATAACTGTGGTGAAACGTAGCATCGAGGGTGTCGAACGTCGTCTCTCACGCGAAGACGGCTCGGACTCGTCCAAAGACAGCAGTCTGCAGAGCGACACCAGCGTAGACTCCGAAGATAGTTTCGCATCTGTGATTTACGTGCCGAAGCAGGACGTCGCTGTCCCGGCACCGCCGGCGTCGTCCTCGGTCAATGAGGTTCCTTCCGCGCCGCGACCGGTGGCATTGCAGCTTGGCACAACGTCGGCACCGCCGTCGCCGCGTGTCAAGCAGCCGCTGGACGGTGGTCAATCGTCTAGATTCAAAGTGATGAGCGTGTCGCCATTGCTGAAACAGCAATCGACGGGCACGAATACGAATACGAATACGAGTGTAAACACGCATCTTGATGACGCGACAAAGCCTAGTGTGCCGACCGTCGACTGCGAGGAAGCGTCCGACACTGTACAGGCACCGGCCTCAGGAAAATTCCAGCTCATATCGGAATCGGTGGAACCAGACGTAGAGCCGGACACCACGTCGTTGATACATGCCTTCAACGACGTCAACAAGGTGGTCGGTCGCGAGCCGATCGCGAGCGAGGACGACAGCCGAAAAGCTAGACTGAACCAGATCAAGGAGCTGCTCATAGCGAAGCCGGGCTTTGCGACGCGCGCTAGACCGTCGTTTCCTTTGGTAAGGCGTGCCTCCACGGCGGCCTCGGGTCGTCTGGAGACAGTCACGAGGATTTTGCCACGTTTACTATCCCTGGAATTGTTCAATCCGGAGACCGACGACTTGGACAGCGACTCCAGCGGCGTCTCGTCGCCGGAATCAGTCGGCTCGGTGATCAGCGTCACGTCGGACGAACGGTACATCGCGAGGAGAGAGGCCGAAGGGAAGAGAAACAACGCACAGACAGACGAGAGTCTTTCCAAGTCGAGCGGTGACGATGTATCGAAGAGGACGAAAGAAACGGAAAGCAGTATACGTGACGACGAGTCGTTGAGTATGAAAACAACAACGTCACTCGAGGATTCGAATACACCTCTGGATCCTCCGCACGACAACTCGTCCGGCGACACGGAGGACGACACGCCTCTCGCGGAAACCGAGATGACGCGCGACACTTGTCAAAATAACTTCAAAGCTGACACGATCGGTCCCATGTCGCGCATCCTTCTGGACAGCGGCAAGTCCATCTCCCCGCAGTCTATGAGGCTTCTCGAGGCCGCCGCCAACGTGGCGAGCTCGCTGGAGGACGCTGTGGAGACAGCGATTCAACGCAACGCCCAAGTAGAACAATTCTCGCAAGTAGCACAACGGCGAAACAACGATGGCTTCTGGTCGCAGTCGAACCTGCGAACGCGAGCGTACTTGAAGCAGGATTGTAAATCCGCTTCGGTAGATTTGGGCGGCTACGCTGACGAATCGAGCAGCGATCTTATACGAGATATCAGTCGGTACTGCCAGAACTCGTCGTTCGATTTTCTCGAGGTCTGCCAGACGTCGAGGACCACGTCGTCGTCGTCGGACGTCGCGGAGAATAACGTGGACGCGGAGTCGGACATCACGGCCTGTTGGGACGGATGCAATCAAGTTCCCAAGGAGACTTCGTGGATCGTAAACGAAGCATACGACAGTAGTGGACACGACAAGTTCGCCAATGTGGTCCAATCCAAACTGATACCCAAATCCTCTAGATCTCTCTGCGAGGATGTCGTTTTGGAGTCTGAATTCGATCGTAAATTTCCACGCGATTCCAAGTACGAGGTTGAGCTCGAACCCGAGCCCAAAGCTACATTCATATCCAAATACGACGAAACGTTTAGAGTCAATCGCGAATCCGAGGAGAAATTGAAAGCTGAAGTCGACCTCGTATCTAGATTCAATCCCGAGTCCAATAGTAATCTCACGAATGGTAGCAAAAAGTCGTTTATCAATGCTGAAAGCACGCTCAATCTCCAATCGGGAGCAGGACGTAAATCCAACATTAATCAGGAGCACTGTCGCTCCGCCAACACCTCGTCGTTGTTGCGCAGCAACTCGGACGACGCATTGGACTTCGTGATGGTGTCGAAGACGGGCGAGTTCGAGTGCGAGGAAGCGGTGGAGAGCTCGAAGGCGGCCGGGAAGTGGCGTTCCTCTCGGAGCGGGCTGTCGATGGACTTGAGCGACGTAGGCGACTCGCTGATGGAGAACGCGGCGACGAGCCTGAGCGACGGCAGCCAAACGGCGTCGACAGCGAGGCTGTTCACCGGCAGCACGGTGTCATTGGTGTCGAATCCGAACGTGGGCAGTACCACTCGTCGGTGCTCGGTGGAGCGACGCAGACTGCAGGAGCGCGGCCGTTCGTTAGACGAGATGTCGAGCGACGCGAAGAGGCGGGACACCGCGGGCTGCCTGGTCACCGCGAGCACCGACACCCTGAGCAACGCCTCGTCCCAGGAATCGTTGCCCTCCGATCGCGGCGGCGGCTCCATCACCTATCACCAATATTATCACGTCTTTCGGGAGGGCGAGCTGGATCAGCTGATCAACAAGTACGTCGAGAACCTGCATATCATCTCATCGTATTATGACCACGCTAGCTGGTGCGTCGTCGCGGAAAAAGTGCAGGTCTGGACTATATGACTTCGGATACGGATCATCGTATGAAGGACCAGCGGCTGCCGCGACTCGCTCTCGGCCGTCTTCGCCAAGCTGTACCCGGGTGTCTCGATAGGAGATGTCAGCAAGAAGGGATCAACTAGGTTCAACTTTAATGAAAATTCGCATCTGCTTAGTTTCACTTTTCAGTCGGAAATAGTTCCCGATTTACTAATTCAAGAAAATGAGTCGCAGACCTGAGAAACTGGGAATGTACAATTCCCCGAGTCCTTTGATTTTTTTATGTCTAACACGGTTCGCACCACTTAGGACTTGGAATACGAAACGGCGTGTCGGAAAGAATTCTTACTTTCGCGATAAGAGTACTGATCCCTCTTTTTTTGGGGCACACAGTACACTCCGGTGGGCGAATTGAATGCGGTTAAGCGCGCGAAATTCTCGGTTCGAGTGCGTGGTTTACGACTCTAAATCCGTAGATCTAAGAGTCCAAGGATCTCAAAATTCAGGGGTCCAAGAATCCAAGGATTTCAAGGCTCAAGGATTTCATAATAATCCAAGTTAACGAGTTGACTTTCTAACGGTCCGTTCTGAAAAACTCTGCGACGACCTATATCGCTATTGAAATATCGCTTTGCGCTCGTTGAACATTCCTTTCACGTTTATCTCATCAAGATATCTCTGTCCGTGATGTCACTGAAGTGATGCAGGAATATGACTTTAAGGATTAACGGTAGAAAGTAACGAATCAACATTGCATTAAATTGATATGTCATGTAATATCCGTCGATAAAACGGCATTTTTTAATTTTCTTTCGGTACTGTTAATCGGCTTGTATTAATTGCATAAATGACTTTCCATGTCCACGGCTCGTTTGGCTTTAGCCTCACTTCAGGGACGTTCGGGACCGCTCATTTCATTTATCGGACTCGCACATCTCGGAACAACGATTGCAGAAAGCATGATTCTTCGAGGACGCATCGAAGTAAAAGAGGAAGGAAACGTACTGTTTGCTCGAGGGGTGTTAGTTTTCTCGAAGAGTGGTGCGATCTGAATGTACATGCGTTAAGCGTAAAAGTTCAGAGAAAAAAAAAACATTCAGAAACGGCAATTGGCTCCCGGCTGCGGGGCGTATTTTCTAGCTTCTCGAGGAACCGACAATATCCGAACGCTTGAACGTAGATATACCTCAATAATGCGAACGTTCCACTTCCAGAAATGTATACACATGCATACTATACATGCATACGTTTACACACGTGTTTACGTACATTGTACACGTACTAGGGTATCTCTTATTTGTAGAAAAAATTTTACACAATGAATTGCATCGGCGTATTTAGCTGTCGGCGTTGAAATTGACAGCGAAATTAGATACGACGTAGAACGGCGACATTTCCAACTCGAATGATTTATAGAAGCAAATAAAATGTAGAAAGTGAAATGCTTGCGATAATCGGACAAGAGCAAGTAAGGGACATCCTGATACACATATCTATTCACACACATATATACACACACACACACACAGAGAGGTATACATATACACATACGACATACGTACGTACATACGTGATACATATACTATATTAGGATATAAGGATTCAAGGATCCAACGATCCAATGATCTAAGGGTTGAATGCTTATATCCTTGGATTCTTCGCCCTAGGTTTTTCGATTCCTCAGATTGGTTTTTTTTCGTTTTACAGTCTTACAGTCTTACTCATTAACGCCTGGACCTGCATTTTTATCATCGTTTTCCTCATCTACACAGATCTCCGAGTTCCAGACTGTATGTATTGCACTACCACAGACTTCTATTGAAGCTGTGTGAACTGCAGCCTGAAACTCATCAATATAAAGATTATGAAAATGTGAATCCTAGTAAAACTGAGGTCCAGGCGTTAATTAACAAGACTAGGAATCACTGATGCCTTCCCACGTGAGCTTCTACATGTGCTTAAATTCATTCGGGGAAGGCAACGGTGATTCCCTAGTGTACAGCACTTTTATTGCCGACCTCCTTCGTTCCGTGAGTGCTCACCCCTTTGGAAAGTCCTCAGTTTTCCCCACGATCGTACTCCAAAAGTCCCCCCAGATCCCTCAACATTTTAGTCCGGGCAGTCTCTTTGTATAGATCTGTAATCCTTTTAATCCCGAGACACACGAAAGATTTTAGCGTGTTGTTACATTTGACGATTTTTTTAATTCGTACAGCAAGGCATTTTCGACTGAAGATCCAAGGATCCAAGCATCCGTTTATCGGTATACTCACACGTCGCATAGAGCAGGGCATAAATGTAATCTAAGCTTCGTTATTTTTATGATCTCAATTAATTATCGTAGTCGAGAACCAAGTTTTTATCGCGATACCCTTTAACCGGTGAACCGGACGCCGATCCTGTCGCGTCAGACACCCGCAGTGAAATTGCCGATCGACTCCACACGTGTGATACCGTAGGATAAATTCTCATGAGATTGTACATCGCGAAAGTGATAATGAATACTCGCGTCGGATCGCTAATGTTAACGCGATACTACATTAAGAACTTTTTAAGGTCAGAGCGGGAAACCTGTCCCTCGCAGTTTTCGGCGCATATAACATGCGGCAGGAAGGAAACGAAAAGGAAAAACACAACGGATGAGAGCGAGCTTGGGATTACTGGTTAAAGGGTGACTCGATCGAGAGGCACAGGCTGCTGTTTCAGTTTCCAGAGAACCGTTTGATTAGTCAGACGCATTTAACAGGTAGTCGACGATGTCTTTTTTTTCTAATTTATGGAATGAGTTCCATTCGTATACTCGTTTCGAGGAAGGAAACGCGTATCAGAAGCGTGCGTGCGTGTGTGTGTGTGTGCGTGAGAAAGAGAGAAAGAGAATAAAACGGTGTAAATATGTAAAATAAAGTGTTCCTGACGTAAACGCACAGAAGATCGTCAGAAGGCATAGTTCCAACAAGCGGCAATTTCGCACGAGAATTCTCTATCAGCTAACCCCGTTCCTCGTCTCTCCTCATCATCGTACAGATCCCCCGAGACGAAACGGGAGAAGATTCGGTTTTAACAAGTAAATAGCGACGGCGACGTGTTCGAGCCGGGACGCCGCGGAATAAATTGCGGTAGTAGAGTCACATTTAATAAGTCAACAAGACCGACATGTGCTTGACGCAGAATAAATATTGACTGTCCATTATTAGGCACGAGATTCCGTTCAAAAATGTCAATATTGAAGAATTACTTTTACGACTGGACGCCGGGAAGCGTCTTAACTTCGAGCCAACTTGGACGAAACTCCGATTGACTTAATCGCCAGAGTTGCCCGCGGTAAAATTTCAAACTGTAATTTTCGCTGCCCGAGGTCCAGCGTCTTCCTTTTCGAGAACGACGAAAAATTAATTATTCCATTCGCGTTAACGAGATTACGGGTATCGTTCGAGACCGGTTAATCGCCGAGTTAATCGGAGCTTGGTCGAGGTCGGCTCTTACCATTTTACTTCAATCAACGTCTCTTCCCGTAGCTACAGCCCCAATTAGAGAAAACTTAACGAGAATCTCGTAATGCTTGGTCGACGAAATTACCTCGCAAGATAAACGAGCGATCCCGAGATACGCGCGGATGCTCGGAAAGCGGAAGTAATCCGGTGCCTTTCAAATAGCGCACGATAACGAATTTTCGTAGCTCACCGGCACCCTGGAACATACCGCTTTTAAAACTAGTGAACACAAGTCAGAAATACGAGTCTTTGTGTCTTTATAATTCATCAACTCGAAGACGTATGCACTTGGTAAAATATTTTTCCTCGATAGCTATTTTCAAATAGTTTTCAAGGAAAATGACGCGAATCCAAGAAGATTGTAGTAAAACGCAAATTGTCAGAGCGACCCTGCCGAAAATAATTCTACAAAATTCTACCAAGAAATTAAGTATAACTACTAGAATCTAACTTTAACGTAACGGATCTACGAAATGTACGTCAATCTACTATCAAAAAATGTAGATTCCGTTACTTTAATAAAAAACTTTTCACTCACCGACACGATGCGCAGCGGCGGAGTTGTATCTACGTTGATTCTGCAATGGCGCCCGATGCCTCCTCCTCTCAGAAGTCGTTGTCTCAGCTGCCCTCCGACACACTTGCGAATTTACACTTCCGTTTGTAAAGTCACTTGCCACTTTCACTGTGACCAAATGCCACTTCACTCGCGAACTTACAGTTCCGTTTGCAAAGACACTTGCCACTGTCACTGTATCCACATGCCGCTTCTTCGGTTTTCACCGTGTCCGATTGTCACTGAGTCCGATTGCCACTACGAAATGTGCGATTACATCGAGCATCGATGGCAAATCGCGGGAATTCAGCGATCGCACGATGATATTAATCACTGATCATTCGCAGAGAGCGATCGCGGTTTCTTCCCGCACTTGTCGCGAACGCGTATCAAGAATCATACGATATGCGAAGCGGCGCGGCCATAACCGATCAATTCGACTGTCGCCGCGTGAATAATCCTGCGTACGGCGTCGTAAACACCGCAAAAACCGAGCGCGGATTCCACGAAATGACGTGGCACTGTAAACACCTCGGCCGAAAATCGAGCGCGCATTCCAATAGATTGTTTTTCACCGAGGTGTTCACGGCGCTACGTCATTTCTTGGAATCCGCGCTCGGGTTTTTCGGTGTTTACGGCGCCGTACGCAAGATCAGTTACGCGGCGACAGTCGAATTGATCGGTTATGCCCGCGCATATCGTATGATTCTTTCTTGATACGCGTTCGCGACAAGTGCGGGAAGAAACCGCGATCGCTCTCTGCGAATAATCAGTGATTAATATCATCGTACGATCGCTGAATTCCCGCGATTTGCCATCGATGCTCGATGTAATTTCGTAGTGGCCATCGGACTCAGTGACAATCGGTCACGGTGAAAACCGAAGAAGTGGCATGTGAATACAGTGACAGTGGCAAGTAACTTTACAAACGGAACTGTAAATTCGCGAGTGAAGTGGCACTTGGACGCAGTGACAGTGACAAGTGTCTTCACAAACGGAACTGTAAGTTCGCGAGTGAAGTGGCATTTGGTCACAGTGAAAGTGGCAAGTGACTTTACAAACGGAAGTGTAAATTCGCAAGTGTGTCGGAGGGCAGCTGAGACAACGACTTCTGAGAGGAGGCGGCATCGGGCGCCATTGCAGAATCAACGTAGATACAACGTAGATCCGCCGCTGCGCATCGTGTCGGTGAGTGAAAAGTTTTTTATTAAAGTAACGGAATCCACATTTTTTGATAGTAGATTGTAGATTGACGTTGTACATTTCGTAGATCCGTTACATCAAAATGGACAGGTTACAAATAATTTCGCGTCTTATTTAATATATTTAATTGATCGAAGAGAAGTGATCTCATAGAGCTCTACAAATCGAAGTATGCTGAGCTCATTTTTCACGTTTAAAATCGTTAAACTACATCATAGAAGTTACGCGAAATATGACGAATATTATCGATGTATTCGGCCAACTAATCTCTCGTAGCCTATCCATTTTTAATTAAAGAATTGATATATGTATAAAGTGTAGTTTGCTAAGAAATTCTACGTATTTTACAAGACTTTACTGGTTTAAAAAATTTGAGAAACAATCTGCTTACTTGTTAGAATATTACAAAAATTAACAAAAGTGTTCCAATTCTAGCATTTTCATTTTAATTTTTACAACGCTTTTTAAATTTACGTAGAATTTCTTAGACTCTGGCAGTTATTATTTTATAGTTTTGTAGAGTTTTGTAGAATTATTTCCGGCAGGGCTGCGCACAGAACTGTACATTCTAATGCCGGCACTCGTCGGTACTCGGTCAGTAACGACCGGTAATGAGGGAAGCGCGATAGAGCGGTAGGTACTCGCGGAGAGTGGTAAGGTCGATACTTTGACCGAAGTCGCGAAGGTGACGACGAGATCGCTGGAGTTTCAGACTCGTCTTCTGGATCCTCCTTCATTCGATACGAGCGTCGATCCTAATCTACTTTTTCACACTTCGAGTTGGCTGTTCCTAATTTTATTTAACTATCCAGTTGGCCATTTGCGCGGCGGGATATGCCACGACAGATTGACAGCAAATGCCGTGCAAGACCCAGCGCGAAATGACTCGTCGATCGATGTCGAAACGACGTCGATGGGGATTTGCCGTTTTAAATAAGACACACTTAAGGCATTTGAAAGTACTTAAAAAAGGCGATCATTGAGAAATACTCGAGGTAATATTGAAAAGTAATCTGTGTATGACGGGGCGGCTTCGGGCAAGTTCCGATTAACTTAATCGGCGATTAACCTGTTTGAGCAACACCCGCGGTACTCCGATCAGCGCGGGCGAGAACTATCTTTCCGCCGTTCGACGCAGAGAGGGAGAGATCCCAATTCAAAGGAGCGAATTCGCGCGCCAGTGAGAAATTCGGCACGGCATGGTGATGAGTGCCGCTGTCCGGCGGGACAGCCGAAGTCGCCCTCTGTTGCGTAACGATAATTAACAGCTGGCAGATCGACCAGCTCCGCGGGGACCGCAGGTTCGTGGAGATCGCTCGATCGGAGAAGCCCTCCGTCGAGGCAGGAGAGCGGAGGTACGACGGTTCGACGGATTCGGGACGTCGGTCGGGGGACACCCGGGGGGTGGGGGAGAGGGGAGGGAGGGGAAAGACAGTGTGGCGTTCTCCGGGCGCGAGAGGAGGAACACGGCGGCGGCGGCGGCGGCGGAGGTGCCGCGTAGTTGGAGGCGCGGGCTCTCACGGCGATGGATCCTCGCGCAGCATCGGGCAATCGCTAATCGGGTCGTCGGCATCGCTCGGCGCCGACGGCGGCGGCGCTCGCTCGCTCGTTCGTGCGCTCGCTCGCCCGCTCGCTCGCTGGCGCGTAATCGGCGGGAGGAGGCGCCGAGCGCTCGAGGTGGCGCGTGTCCGGGTAGCGCAGTCTACCGTTGACCGCTAACCCTTTCGCACACGGAGGGGTGCGTGGTATCCTCTCGTCGTACGAAAGTGTTCGGCTCGCTCTCTTTCTCTCTCTTCCTCTCTCTTCCTATCCAGGGCGAGAGGAAGGTCCGACCGTCGAGGGACGTTCGCGCGGACCCCATCCCCGTCCCCCGGGAGCCTCGGGCGAAGTTTCGCGAGCCCGTCCCTGCCGTTCCCCCGCGATGAACGGGAACGCGAAGAACGAGCGGCCGTGCGCCGACGACGTCGACGCCGCCTCCCTCGGCGCCGACATTCTCAATCCCTTCGTGCACCGCCTCGAGCTCGGCTCGACCTACGAGAAGCTCAAGGTCAGTATCTCGCGGAAGCGCGGACTTCCTGCCCCGGGATCGATGCTCGGTGCGATCGTGCGTTGTAGGGGATGCCGCCACCGCCGCGTCGCTCGAGTGCTTCGATCGCGGTGCCGAGGAAGTTGCGCGTGAATGTCGAGACTCCTCGCGGCTTGCGTACGCGACAAAATTCGCAGGCTCGTTCCGTCGCGGTTGGACTGACGGAGACTGACGACGACGACCCGGCGAAACAACTCGGACTTTCGAGACCGGTCGTTTCGAAAGAAAAATAAAAATGTCGAGTGATCCCCGTCTTTCCCTCCGGCGACCCGAGTGTCCCCTGAATTCGGGGCGAGTAGCGTAACACAATCTGGACATGGCACAGTTATACGTGTAACGATTATCGCCGTTACATAAGATCGCGTTGCAGTTTTCAGACTGTGGCGAAATAAGAACGCGTGAGTGACGCGGCGAGAAAGAAAACGTCGGCGGGTACGGCCGAGGAGATATCGCGCGGGCACGGGCCGGTTTTTCCCCTCGAGTCGGCCGCGGCGCGCGACTTTCACGGCGCGCCGCGGCGGGCCAGGTCGCGCCACCAATTTCGCGTCTATCGCGGTCCCGATCGCCCGCTCGTTTTCCCGGCAACAAAGGGGGTATTTTACGGCCGCGCGGTCGGCCGTCATCACGGGCCGACATGGCGCGCGAGGCGTGCGCCTCGTGTGTTATTTCCGCCCCACTTTCCTCGACCGCGCGCCGTGCCGCGCCGAGGGTCTCCGGCGCGAAACGCGACGCGAACGTTAGTCACGTGCGTTAAACTGTGAACAAGGTCATTGCGAGCGATCGGGCTTCGGATGCTCCGGTAACTTGCGACTTAGGCCTGGTTGCACCAACGTCGCTTAACTTTAACTTTAGCTTAATTCGCTCGTTGTCTCTTTCTAAGGGAAACAGAGAGAGAGAGAGAGAGAGAGAGAGACGAAGGGTGAATTTTAAACGTTACGTGACGTTGGTACAACCGGGCCTTAGGCCGGTATTCGTAGTCGATTCTTATTTCAAAATCATCTCGAGTGTCGCCTTAAGACGCCAATACGGCTCTGTGATTGGTTGAAAGCACATTAAGAGTGTACTTAAGATGATCTTAAATATAAGAACGGTCTATGAATGTACTGACCGTAGATAGCTCGACATGCTCAGTGAGAAACGATTCGTCGATCGACGACGATCGATCACTGGATAGAGTTCAAATCGATCCGCGTGCAACTTCAGACGGGTGGGCAACCTAGCAGCACAGTGCATTGGCTAATATTAACCAATGTTTAACCAATGTTTGCTCAATGCACTGTGCTACTAGGACGCGCGCACGGCTGTCCCGCCTTTCCTGGCGAAAATTTTAAGTGATAGATGATGTTTATATTTATCTGTGAAGAGTTTTATCGATAGTTACATTGTTTATGAAGAGTTTTATCGATGGTTACACCGTTTGGGAGTACATTGCAAACACCTGGTTAATTCTTTACTGACAATAACATTTTACAAACACTTAGAAAACTATAATGGAAACGTTTGACGTTGTATCATTAAGCGCAATTTGGACACGCGTAACCGTGAACATGTCATAAACAACTCCACGTTTAAATTTATATCTCGCAAACAATTCAAGAAATGTTTTAAAACTCAACTAAAACATTGACTCAACATTTGAGCAAACTTCTTTTAATAAACATATTATTTTCGCCAGGGGGTTGTGGGACACGCGGTATTTTCGCGCACGCACGGAGCTCGCCTGCGATATTGTTCGAATTTAAAGATCTAAGAGACCCATCGACCTGGATTGCCCACGACACGAGAACGAGGAAGTGATTTTCGCACTCGTTAAACTCGTTTCCCTCCGGCGTTCCAGTTCGGCTTTTGCGAAAAACGAGACCGCCGGGCGGTTTTTCCCCTTCGTCGTCCGTGCATTTCGCGAGCCATTAAAATCGCGGCCCGCGCTTTTCTCGCCATAAAACACGACGCGAATGGTACTCCTTCGTGGACCGATGCTTTCTCTTGTTAAAACACCAGCGAGGTCTCGAGCGCGCGTAGAAAGCCCGCATTCTAGATGCGGCGAGTGAATGAGGAACGGCAACGTCCGTCGTTCTAACGGGATTCGGACTGGATCGAGTGTCGTTTCGTGAAACTGAGAAGATCAAACGAAATTGTATCGCAGTCGGGTTCGATTCAGATCACATTCGCTCTCCATTTAACTCTCTCCTCTTGCCCCATATGCGTCTCGTTTGCATAAATCGCAGCGCGTTTTAAATAATGTCAGCCCGTATACGTACATTAAGTCACGAGTTCCCGTGACTGTTACACGCTAACGCATGCACGTATTTCCTGGCACGTCTCGCCGCGAGACGGCGCAACGCGGCCCTTAATATTTACAGTTACATCCGCGGGACAACTTTCTACGCGAAAATCAGCGCATGACGAACGCGCGGAAGGCCTCTTCGTTACTATTTGCGTGACGTTATTGATTAGAACAACTTGAATCCAGCGAATAACCCGCTGATCCTCGTTAAGAGATTCGCTCCAGACGTCGCTTTCATATCCGTACACGAAACTCGCCCTCAATTTCTTCCCTAATCATCGTCCCGATTCCCCGTCGCCTCTGTTTACAGGAGAATTATGTCACCTCGCACTCGAGTCGATCTGGGTCAAGAACGAGGCTTGCTTACTTTGTTTCATTACGCGATTAAAACTGATAAATATTCTTGGTAGAGCCTTACTTTTGCATTGTACGGTGACGTACAGAATGGTTGCGACACTTTTTTTTTACCTTATAAGAAACGCGCATTTAGCTTCAGGGCGTCGTTTCTGTATCTTATAGTAAAAATGAGCGGCTGTGTCTCTTTCCAAGGGAACAGTTAGAAAGAGACGCAGCCACTCACTTTTAGCATTTTTACTATAGTACAAGATACTGAATTGACTCCCCCCCCCCCCCCCGGTTTACGTTTTTCGAAACATTTTCTCGGAGGAAAATTTTACTCGAGAAATAGGTCGAAAACGCTCAAAATGGTTTGGAGTAAAATATTCCTTGGAGAAGATTTTGGAATCCTAAATCTAAATGTACGTCCCTAAACTCACTTTAAAAAGTGCCCAGATAGCCTGCATGTCCAAAAGACGTCTTTAAGGGGTCATTCCACTTTAACGGCTCAAAAACTATGCTTATTTTTCACAGTAAATACACCATACAATGAAATAAATCTTTTGGGGATTTATTAGGACACTCTTAAATAACACAACAAAGTTTTTGTTATAATTTAAACAATTTTTTAATTAAGCGTTTTCGAATGGCGTGTCGAAAAAGGTGCAAGTCCGCTGCGTTGACGACTTTTATCATTCAGGCTTACTTGAGACAAAAATCGAAAAAGATTCCAAATCATAGCGACACTCACATAGATTAGCAATCTTTTTTGATTCTTTGTTTCAGTGATCACACTGATGAAAATGCTAAAAGTGAGTGTAAATGTGAGGTAAGCCTGAATGATTAAAAGTCACCAACGCAGCAGACTTTCATCTTTTTTGAGCGCGCCATTCGGAGGGTGTAGAAAACGCTTAATTAAAGAATTGTTTAAATTATGACAAGATTTTTTTGTATCATTTAAGAGTGCCCTAATAAATCCCCAAAAGATTCATTTCATCGCATGGTGTATTTACTGTGAAAAATTGTTAACGATAAGTATAGTTTTTCGGCCGTTAAAGTGGAATGACCTCTTAAGACGATATTGAGTTGTTTTTTAGACGTGTACGTCTAAAAGTTGTCTTGTAGGTATCTACCTTTTTATTATGTCTTTTAGACATACATTGCTATCTGGGTGTTACAACCATTCGGTTTATTACTGCACATTACACGTCCGGCGTATCGGTTTCTTGGGTAAGACGAAGCGAGATGAGACAAAATACAGCTGAGGCATGGCCGATATGCGTCTAACGGAACAGCGAAACGTAACGAACGGTACTCGCATCCTATCTCCTTTCCGCTCTTCATTCTTTCTTTCTCTTCCTTTTCACGAGCCGGAAAGCCGAAGCCTTCGGTGATGGACGCCCCGCAACCTTGACCGCGTAAGACGGGCGACAAGTTAGTCCGAGGGCCAATTACTTACCTCGGCGTCCCATTTTCGCGATCCTGCGATATCGCGAGGACACTCCGTCGATTTCATGAATCTTGAACGTAGCTAAAAATGAAGTTCCTCGACGTGTTTCAAATATTAACGTGTACACGGCACCTGGAATACATGAGCATGTTTAATTTGTCGGACGTTTGTCGACTACCAGGGCAAAGACCTGTAAATAAAAAGTCAAGCTTGCTCCATCTGACTTTTTGATTTCACATTTGCGGCAAATGGTCGGAACAGTACTACAATGTCGAATTCAGCTTATACACGGAGAGACTTTTCTCTTAAAATTTCTCTTGAAGATCATGTAATTGCGAGACAACACGGCATCTCGAAGAATTTTATACTCTCTAAAAGTCAATCAGTGGATTATCAAAAGCAGTGAATAGTCACTGATTTACAGTTGTAAGTATGCCACTTATAACTGCAAATCAGTGTCTATTCACTGTTTTCAGTGATAATTCACTGATTGATTTTTAGAGAGTAAGCTTTTTGAAACTTTACCACACGTTTTACTAGTAATTATACTTATTGTTAGTAAAATGTGTACTAAGGGTGTGTTCGGGACCTCACTATCAACGCTTAGCGCTGAAAACGTCATTTTATTTTTGTCGCGAAATAGAACGACGTTTTCAGCGCTAAGTAGCGCTGATTGCGAGCTCCCGAACGCAACTTGAGTATAATTACCAGTAAAAGTGTAGTAAAATTACAAAAAAAGCTCTCATAAAGTTCTTCAAAGTAGCACGTTGTTCCACGATTACGCGATTTTCGAGGTAAATTTTGCGAGGAAATTCCGTGTAGCTGTGGGAGTCGCAATCTCCAAGAAGACTTACGCGGTGATGTTTTGGTGTTTCAGACGATATTCTTAACAATCGCCCTCCTGCCGTTCAGGCTAGCCGCAATCACAACTTTGATGATCCTGGCGTGGCTGTTGGCCTGTCTCGGTTTGCACGGATTGTCCGAGGAGGATCTTCGGCGTGCTCCTCTCAAGGGATGGAGGCGGTATGTTTCAACGATACCAAGCGACCGCATAATCGCTGCGAGAGAGAAAGAAGAACGGTCCCTTCCCGTACTCGTCCCTCATTCCGAGAGTCCTACCTCTATCGTGCTATTCACGCTAACACTAGCCATACCTCTCGGGGTCGCTTTTTAATCTCTGTGCGGGTACGGTATCATCATCTTGCTTTAGTAGCGGACTGAGGGGTATATTCTGTAAAATTGCTCTGTAACGCTGTATCTCTACAAGCTACGTAGGCGCTGTGGAGCGAAGGAGAAAGAGTGAAGAGAATAAGAAAGAGCTGCAGAATTTATAGAGCGAAAATCTTACAGAATACAGGGCTAAATCTGTGTTACTTACATATCCGGATGTGCCAGTCACGCTTAGAAATTCTTCAATCTAGACGCCGCACACACATATCGTACTTTAGAGATTTACTATACTTTTCAAAGGTATTTAATAATTCAAGTTCGGGATCTTTAAGATATAAATCAAATAGAAGCGAGAACGCCAAATCACACTTGCACTGCAAAACATATCCGTTTTGTGTATAAAGGACAATTATATTTCCGTTATATTTTATAACGGATATTCAATATTAAAACGGATTTCTCATATGTCCGTTCGATTTAAGCATGACTGGTGGATTTCTTAATATGACACTTTATTCATTATACAAAATCCTTTATATAAGTAGAACCTTAATGTAAAGGATATTGTAAAGGATTTGGTCATATATTTAAAGCGGACAAGAGTTACATGACCATGGAAAGTGGTTTTCTGTTGTCGCTCAATCTGTAGTGAAAAAATTTGCTTTTTTCCGTTATAATTTCGCGGAATTTAGAGTGGACATGCTTTGCAGTGTAGGTCCGGGCAAGCTGAAGGTAGCCCATATAATTATTAATTTTTTAGATTTAATATGTAAATTCATATATCGTATTTTCCTGTCCTGCGCGCCGTTACTTCCGGACACATAGCACAGGTTTTCGTTAGGTGGAATCGTTGTCAGCAAGTTCACGTATCATAAAATCGCTGAACGATTTTCTAATTATTTCAATTCTTATATTAAATTTTTAAAAAATTACGAGGCTACCTTCAGCTTGCCCGGGCCTAAATATGATTTGCTCGTTTCTATATATTTAATAATGCTTATAGTATACAGTGAATCCGGTAAATCCGTATTAAATGCGCGAAATCATGTTCCAAAATAATACGATTAACTTTGGTTTCCATGATAAAGAGAGAGAGACAGAGAGAGGGCGAATATGAATTCTAAATGCGTATCTCCTCGCGCGAGTCAAGGTTGCACCTTTCTACCTTTAATACAGTTCTTGTCTGCGAGTTTTATCACCGTTAAACTGTCCCCGCGTCTAATGAAACATTTCGTTCGTACCGTCTCCGTCCTGTTGTAATAATTCAATTAGTGACTTGCAACACCTTGCGGAAAATGCGGCTGCGTTTCTAATTTATTGACATTGACAAAGTTGACACGCGTCATCTGAACGCAAAACTTTGCGGGAAATTAATGTCGAGTGTCTTAAGCTCGCGTTGGAATTACGGAAATGTATACCGTTTGACAAAAGCTTCCTGTTTTTATCTACAATGTACCGGTCTAAATAATATATCTAAATGTAAAATAATCGTTAATTGACAGCGAGAAGTTGCGTTACCGCTCGGTTATATTTCGTTTGTAACTTAGTCATGCGTTACTGTCAAGGTCTTGCGATAAGAAAAGTCTATAAGACGACCTTGTACCATAATGAAAGATTATGACGGGTACAGCTGGAGGAAAATACAAGGTGGGCAATGTATAACTGACTAATTTGACGCGCATACGTGCTGCATTGTGTATTACGCTTCATAATTGATTCGCCACGTGTATTCTGTACAACTGTCAAAGTGCAACCGAATAGACACCTACATCCAAAATGGCGGTTCACTCAAATCAGTCAGTTGTGTGTTGCCCATCCGGTGTTTCCAAAGTATTCTTAACTGGGTATAGCACACAGTGGGATTGCGAGTTTCTAAATTATTCATGAGACGGACACTTGTTTAGATTCGTACTATTAGTGTCACTGTCTCGAACCAGTTCTCGTTTGAATGAGAGAATAAGTTAATGCTGTATTATTAATTGGATCACGAGTGAAAGAATTTCTCTAGAGATTACAGTATTTTCTAAATTCCCGAAGCTTGTCTAGATTGAAGGATCTTCGCGAGCTGAGAAAAAGATACAAATCATTCGCTAAAATCTCCTCCCTAATCTCCGTGAAACGCTTACACGAGCGCCGCTCGTCATTTTAGACTCCCTTACGAGAGTAGAAGTAGAGAATTGCATCGGACGATGGTGCATGCGCATTGCAAATTAAACCACTTAAAAACAGAGACATGCGCATCGTGATCTGCTGGATGATGCGGGCGTTATTTCTCTGCGGTGGATTTCATCACCTGAAGGTCAAGGGCCGGAAGGCGGAAACTAAGGACGCACCGGTGCTGGCTCTCGCCCCGCATTCCAGCTTCTTCGATGCACTTCCGGTCGTGTACCTCGGCGGGCCGAGCATCGTTGCCAAAGGGGAGAGTAGCCGTCTCCCCTTCTTTGGAAGTAGGTCGCCCACCGTCGCATTGTCATCTGTTGGTGAACATAATTGATAAGAGAGAAATCGCTATATTCTTTTCAAATGGAGGCCGGATTTTAAAATTAAGTTAAATCACGTTGGCGAAACGGCGAGAGAAAACTGCTGACTTTAAGGCATACGCGTTGCAGTGTGACCCGTAGATGAATGTTTTAAATTAGATTCGCGGCCTCGCTTCTTGTAAGAAGATCTACGAACGATCTCTGCTTGATATTACAAAATCGCAATGTTCGCATTCATTTGTCTCGTTGTACATAATACGGTTATGCATTTATGGTGAATGGGATTTATTTTTCAGCAACTAACTCCGATAGTAATTGTCACTAACACAGCTTTTATAGAATGTATGTTTAATTTTATTTAACAAGTGCGCGTCTTGCATTGGCGAGACGAGAAAGAAGTGCAGAATGCGCGTACATATATAGAATTGAAGTTCTGCGAAGCGCACTAACGATCATCTAAACTTGGGTTACTAATCGAACGCTTTCACCGTCTTTTTATCCCTTTTCTTTTTCCATCGCTCGATCGCATAGAAAGTTCACCGGACACACTCGCTTGTAAACACGTTTCCCTCTTTCGTAGTACGACTTGAGTATACAGTCGACACACGCTCGGCTATCGCGATATTCTCCTCGCGACGATACCATCAAGTGGTGGATACCCGGTCTCTCTCGGTACCTGATTGCGATATTTAAATGCATCGGTGAAAATCCAGCGTCCAATATTGGAGCAATTCCATTGCATATACCTTGTCCGACTGAAACCCGCAGAAAGTTAGTACCATGGATATGTTTCGTGGGCCGACTCACTTACCAGGCCGGCGGGATGAAAATCGTGGTCCGAGGGAAACAGGCTTCCAGATCGGAAGCCCCGATTCTGGTCCTCGCGCCGCACTCGACCTTTATCGACGGCGGCATCGTTTACGTCACCGGATTCCCCTCGATCATCGTCAGGCGAGAGTCGGGATTGAATCCGTTTATCGGAAGTAGGTGATACACTCCTGTTTTCTGTTAATTTCTTTTCTCTCTGTATCTACTCCTGTAACTTTACCAATAATTCGACATATTTAAGATGCTACCTATTGTGACATTGAATACTTGTACGTGATTAGACTTGAGCTAAGTAAAACGATGAGGTATGCATACTGAAGATGTCATTGAAGTCACCGAGGCCCGTGCCGTGATACGTGACATTTTTTTTCAACGAAAACTCGCATCTCGAGTATATCATCGGCATTGTTAGCAAAATGCACAAGTGGTTAAATAATCGAAAGTTTGAGGACGTTTCCATAGAGGGAGAACAAAAAAAATCGTTTCGAATACTGTCACGATATGTGGCATTCGGAAATTAATATTAGACGGTTTATTGCGATGAATATTTTCCACATGCCTGGGTGATCGAATTGGTGAGACGCCCGCCTAGGGAGGGAAGTCCAAGTTCAAACCCTGGCTGAGGTAATATTTTTCGCAATGAACTTAAAATTAAGAAATATTTAGACACTAACATCCTGTCACGGCTCTTTAGTCTTCGTTCCTTCGAATTGGTGTTTACCATGTGCCGTATGAATTTTATTTATTTAAAAGAAAAAGCAAGTGACCTGTAATGATTATTTCAAAGTCACCTAAGACAACGATAATTATGTCCAATATGGCATGTACGGTATATCGTTATTGTTTTATTGTCGTATATAGATAGCAACGTAAATGAAAGACGCTCAACTGCCGTTCGTCATTACTTTGAAGGTTGAACATTAAGGAATTTTTATCGAAAGGATAAATTATTGGCATCTTGTCAGAAGTAATAGTGTTACGTTTGATGAATCCCATTCACCATTATATAACGAATGATTTTTTTTTAGTGGGTACACTTGTAAGATTTCTATTACTTAACACTTCGATCGCAGTTTGACTAAACAATGATCCGTACTTGTGGAAACTTGCAAAATAATCGGTCTCGATCTTTTGCAAGGATGTTGTGTTGTAATGAGTTTCCGCTCTCTCGGGTGGTCATTGACTGATCGCCTTTAAATAACCGATTATAACAAATCGTTCGCAAGACTTTCTTACGAGATATATTACTTCAAAATAAGTTGTTATGCAACGTAGCTAAAGATAATTGGCTCAGTCAGTCCGAATGAAGTCAGCGGGATCCAAAGCATAATTATCGCTACATAGTTTTATTGGCGATGACTAGCGCTTAAAGTTAAGTTTTTATGAAATCGCCAATACTTTCCGTTACTTTTCTTAATGTTTGATGTACATAGAACTCATCAACTACACACAGCCGGTCTACGTGTGGAGGGAAGATCCGAATTCCCGTCAGAATACTATCAAGGAGATCATTGAGAGGACTACTTCCAAGGAAGATTGGCCACAGGTAAACAGAACATTAAACTATTAGTGGGGCTTATAGCGAAAGGAGGAGAGTGAAGAAAAGATTTATAAATATAACGGAGGAAAGTCCTCTGTTATATGAGATAGGTTTCTAATATGAGATAGCTGGTTTTCAACACCCAAATTCAATCGCAAATCTTTTTTCGCAACGATTACGCGATCTAACAATGAATTTTTCACTAAACAGATTTCGCTCCAAGGGCACTAAATTCATGGCGGAATCAACCGATGATGCCTATTAATTTAACAGAAACCCCGCTATCCCATATATTAGGATCCTATCTCATAATAGGGGGGCTCTCCTCTGTACTTAGAATATATAAAAATCGAACGTGTATGCCGGGATCTGACGTAGTCTGACGTTACTATATCTACGTTATGAACTCTTAAGATGCTACCACAACAGTTGACATCCCCAACGTTTTCTTTAATTTATTGTAACTCGAGGAATTAAAGTCCAGAGAATAAAAGCACATTAATATTATTCGACGCAACTATTTTTTTAATTAAAAGAACTTATTGCGAAAAATATTACCTCAGCCCGGATTTGAACCTGGACCTCCCGCATACCGTGACGAGCGCCTTATCAAGTCGACCACCGAGGCGTGTAGCAACATCTATCGTAATAATTCTCTTAATTAAAAAAAGGAATACAGGATAGGTTGAATAATATTAGTGCTCTGTTACTTGCTTACTGACGAAGAGACTGATTATTACTCGTGTCGAGAGAATAAATCCTAAAAAGGATTTGCACTCGAGTGATAGTTTTTTTTTCTCGCTCCGGACTCGTTCCCTCAATTATTGATACAGGCTTGTGAGTCACACTGTGTGTACAGAGTTTTATAAAGTTTGTAGAACTGAGTTTATAAAGTTTGCGGAAGTTCGCAGTCCTTTGCGATGTTCTCAATAATTCATGGGCGCGAGATGCACGCGAGCTTGCAATCAAGACGTAAATCGCTACCTTCGCGTCTGCTGGTGCAATTGACCTGACTATTTTCCACAGGTTATGATATTTCCCGAGGGAACCTGTACAAACCGGTCGTGCTTGATTACGTTCAAATCGGGTGCCTTTTATCCCGGTGTTCCGGTACAACCGGTGTGCATCAGGTATCCCAACAAATTGGACACGGTAACGTGGACATGGGAAGGCCCTGGAGCGTAAGTATAGGGAGCCGTCTTCCTCTATTTTTATTTATTTTCCTACATTTATCTTTTATCCGTTGCTTTACGTCCGTTGCAGGCTGAAATTATTATGGCTGACGTTAACGCAGTTAAACAGTAGCTGCGAGATCGAATTCCTGCCTGTGTATAATCCGAGCGAGGCGGAGAAACTCGATCCCAAATTGTATGCAAACAATGTACGACGTCTCATGGCAGAGTGAGTTTTTCGTGTGCAACGGACCGGGTGCCCCGAAGGTGTATGGAACCCTGAAAAGATTATCCTTTTGATTTTACAGAGCGTTGAAAATTCCTGTTTCGGATTACACGTACGATGATTGCCGGATCATTAGAAAGGCTCATCAGCTGCATCTTCCACATGCATCCAATATCGTCAAAAGCCATAAACTTCGGTACAAATTAGGGTAGGTGGCGAATAGTAGACACATTAAGCTATACATATTCCAAATAATTAATTAGGACTTGGATAATTTTGATTCATCTATCATAGTTTAGTGGCGTCAAAAACTGAAGAAGAACTCGTTCAGAAGAAGACGAACAACTTTGGCGAAGTAAATCTACAAGAGTTCGCGCAGATTCTTCGATTGGACGACAATGATCCGACCACTCAACAGCTATTTCGCATTCACGACAAGGTACCTACGAATATATATCATATAAAATTTAAATAATGCAGGTATAAATGATATCATGTAATTTAAAAAGTTTTTGTATGTCATATCGCAGTTCGGACAGGGAAAGGTCGATCTTGAGGAATATATCTTCACCGTGTTGGCGACGGCGAACGCGTCTTCGGAACTTGACAAGGTCGAGATTGCATTCGACGTAAGTGCAAACTGTTTATAGGTCCGTCGTGTTATATATATATAAAAATAATATGTAAACTTTTATTGTTACGCCATTACGTTGTGCTATAGATATGCGGCTCGAAAACAGCGACATGTTTAACCCAGTCGGAACTCAGGAAAGCCTTGAGGTTATCGATACGTATGCAGCCGGAGGAATCCGACAGGATCTTTCAGCACGCCAGAAGTGACGAGAATGCTTGTACAGTGACCTTTGGTAAACACTCGATCACGAGATTAATTTTCTCCCAATAATTAAGGCTCTTGTTTCGCAGTTATTTAATGTCAGAAGAGAGAAATATGTGTTCACTTATTAATACGATAGAACAAAGGAAAAGTTTCTGCATTTTTCATTAATTTGTATTAGCGAATTTGGTGGCGTACAAAAAAAACGATTTATTTGCAACGTATAGCGTAAGAAGAAAGATCACATAATTTCTCACTTCTGACGTATAAACTTTCTGTGGGTGAGAAAGCAGGCATCTTAATATATCACGAGCTCTTCTTCAAGTCTATTTATTTCTTGCAGACGATGCTCTGACGCAACTGTCGAACCGAACGGAGTACTCACATTTATTCAGCGCGAGTAACGAAAGCTCGAAGAAGGCCATTTGAAAGTGTCTTTTAGAGCCCGATGGTTCTTCTAGAGAGCATCGAGGCAGGCCTTTCTGTAGTCCTATCTGCTCCACTCCTGTATGAGAAACGTATCCAAGGTGCTTCGAGGATATTAAAGCAAAACTATTTTGTCGTCTACAGAAGCTGCAATTTAGACAGCTAGCTCGCGTCTTTCCTATAATCTTATAAATTAGAACAAGTCGAGAACTTAGCAACTTAGAATTTTAGGAATCTAAAATTCTAAGAGTCGAGGACTCCAAATGATCTTAGATTTGATAATTCATGAGTAATTTAGCTATGAAGGTCCTAGAATCCATGGTTATGAAAACGCAAAGATACGCGATGTATCCTGGACTCCGAAAATTCAAAGACTCGAGGATTCTACGATCTAAAAGCGGAAGATACCGAAACTTAAAGATTGAGAATTTGGAAAATGAAAAGCCTAAGGATCTGAAGAAGCAGCCGTCTTAGTAACTGTACATTTGAGAATAAGTTAGACTATGGAGATTCGAGGATCCTACGAGGCTCATTTCCCAGATCTACAAGTGTCAAAATAAAAAAAAAACCGATTCTTGCACTTTTTGATGTACAGGTACACATTATATAGTATACAGTTAAGTGATACGGTCATTAAGCTTCTCGCTAGCTCGAAGGGATCCGAGTATCCGTGACGTAGGGCTTGGATGTGCATTTAAGAAAAAAAAAGAGGACAGATAATGATATAATTTATTTTTCGACCCTACGGTACCGCGATATTCGGTGTATGTATGTACATGTACAGACATGCGATCATGCATGGGAATATACATATACGTTAAATTGTGTACATACTTGTTGCACACCACGAACCACGACATGTGTGTAAATGCATACACACATACACACACACATATATGCATAAGAATAGACGAAGAGATTGTGCGAATCGATCGTGTATACCGTCTATGTATGCGCGCGCAAGTGCACTCGTCTGTGTACGTACGTATGTATATAGAAAGAAAATATGTGTGTATAGTCAGGATTACCTACATTTGTAATATCTGTATGAAAATGGCCAAAGCTTAACAGCGCGCATTGTTAGCGGTCATTCCGAGTTAGAAACAGATATGTTGAGTTATAGAACATTTTACTACAACTTATGTTGAAATAACAGTATTTATTGAACCGAAATTTCTGTTTTCAATGCATTGAATTATTGTACTGGCGAGACAATAACTTCTAGCAAAAAGAACCGCTATTTCGTTAAAAGAATATATTCGTTGCCGAACGAACGCGTGTACGCGATTGACAATGATGTATGTTTAAAATCTAAAGTTTAATAATCATTTTTTGTGATAAGTGCAATTTGTTAGAAACCGTGATATGAGTATGTTAGAGTAACTGACAGTAGGAAATATGAATTTTTAGTACAAATTAACTAAATAATATAAACATGACTGTTTAACGAAACTCAGGATCAAATTTCAATCCGGATAAAAAATTTCGATTAATTTAATCATTGACTCAATCAACACAGTTGCTAACATGACAAGTAAAAATACATTTTGTATTAAGATGAGAGAGTTTAAAGATACAAGGCCCGGTTTCTCCAACGTCGCTTAACTTTAACCTTAGCTTAGATTCATCCCTTGTCTCTTTCTCATAGTTAAGCGTTAGAGATACCCGGGCCTTACAGAGAATTGTCTCACAGTTTTCACAACTATTGCATCCGTGCGTTTTCAATTTCCACGATCCCATATATTTTCACTCAACCGGTTAGAATAAAAAATACACAAGCAGTATTTTATATATTGACGCTTTATTAGCATGTAACTTGACTCAACATATATTTAAAGGATATTACAATCGCGTGACTTCGGAGTTATTGATAGCCCGTAGTTTTCCGTCGGAATGACTAGACCGTCGGTGTCTGACTTGCGCGTGAGTCGGCGGGACGTATCCCGCCGCCTCGTCGGCGCGTTTATGCTTATCCAGCGGGACGAATCGCGAGCCAGGTCCACCGCCACCACCGCCGCCGTCCAGACACTCGCAGCTCAGACTCGCCTGGTCCAAGTCGCCTTGGTAATGTCCCGGTGGGATCAGCAAGCTCTCCGTCGACTTGGTCGGCTGGAAGTGTCTGCTGACTGTCGAGCTCGTTGCCGTAGAGTACACGGTGCTGCTGCTGGCACCGCTGTTCTTTCGCTGCACGGTACCGATCGGTGTCTTTGATCTGCTGGCACCACTGCCACTACCACCGCCGCCGCTGCTGTACGACCCCTTACCAGGACGTTCCGCGCTGTGGGTCTTGATGGTCACGGTATCCAAATAACCGTAACCGAAGCCGTAACCTCCGAAGGCTTTGGTAGTCAGATTATCCCAAGATTTAGGTTTAGCGTACTGAAGGCACGGCGGTGGTCGCTGGTGCACACTCGGGTCCCAGTACAGGGTGTCGGTGCTGAGGCTAGTGGAGCAGGAGGCGACGCTCTCGGCTGTCGTCGAGACGTCACTGCTGGTGATTGAATGAAGACTATGGCCGGATGTGCGAGGGCAACTATGAGTGTTAGGCTGCTGCTGCTGCGACTGTTGCTGCGACTGTTGCTCTCGTTGTCCTTGAACGTGATGGTGCTGCATGTTGGCTTGCTGCTGCTGTTGCTGTTGCTGCTGCTGTTGTTGCTGCTGCTGTTGAAGGAGAGCCTGCTCGTGGCGGGCGCGTCGTTGTTTCTCCCGGCGTCGACGACTAGGCACGCAATTCGGATCGCAGCAGGGACTGGCGAGATCATAAGCATCTAGACTAACGCTGTCGGACTGCTCTCGGCGGCGATTCGCGCTGGAGATGCAAGCGACGCAGAGACTATTTTGGGGGGCCGAATGTAACGACGGTCCTTCAGCAGCAGCGGACGATTGCGGCTGTGGCAGCTGCTGGCAGGACTGCTTGTGAGATTTGCTCTTCGCGGGTGTACCCATCATACCGTTTGTCTGATGGTAACTGTGGCGCAAGGAGGTCACCGCGGATTCGCTCGATATCTTCGAGAGGAAGTGATGATGGTCGCTGCGAGAACGAGGCGGTCCGACTGTTACGAGGCAAGCGGCACTGCGTGGTATAAGACACGGCCGCCCATCCGCGAACTGAAAGATATGCCTACGTTCAGACTTGAGTCGCAAGTCTAATGTAGAAATGCTTAAAAATCTTATTGCACAGTTACATGACTATTGGAATAATTGTAGATGCGATTAAAATTATTGTAGAATATTTGGAAGCTTTACTGTACGCGTAGTGACGATGTTTTGTTTCTTATTACAGAAATATAAATAGCGGCTACCACGTTATAAAGCAGAAGGTGTTCGGTGGAGGTTGCCGGCCGGCAGCATTGAATCGTGGAAGAGTTGAAGCTGGAAGAGGGCGACGGCTGATTGGGATTAGTGCCGATGCTGTTAGGCGTTCTTTTGCGCGCTGGCAGTGAATGGGTCTTCCATCGTCCCATTAAAATAGACCGTTCTCTCTCGCACAATCTCTCCAGTTCGCCCAGGCGAGATTGGAGGGCGCGTTGTAACTCGATGTAACGCATATGTAATTCCACCTGGAATCAACTTGCGTTTTAGCCAGGCCCGCTGAGGTCCAATGTGCGTTGTCGGTCAGATTAGGAAAGGATCGCGTTGAAACTGCAAGATCGCGAAAACCGTCCGACGACAATCGGATTTTTTTCGCTTACCTTTCTGACGCAATCTTCGAACGACACGACCATCCGCATTCTGGTATCACAGTTCTTGATGAAGTTCACCAGGGTCTTGTGATCGGCCCTGTCCATCTCGTGGCCGTTTATAGAGAGTATCACGTCACCTTCCCGCATACCAGCTTTGAATGCTGGCCCGTCGTATTCCACGTAATCCACGTAAGTTACCATCTCGATTTCCTGCTCCCTCTTGTAATGTATTCCGTAGCTCTGTTGAATCGACCAAGATTAAATTATTAGTAGTTTACTTAATTGTAAATAAAATACGCTTAATTTGTTTCCTTTGAATTTTTAGAACTCTAGATTACGCGAATCTTTTAGAGCAGAACTTAAGGATAGAACGAGCGGTCGTAGGCTCCGTTGGGGAAGTCGGGAGATATCACGTATCTTGTATGATGTAGTATAATAGATCAGCATCACCTGTAACGTGAAACCGTACGTGCCGTTCTTCTTCTCGACTATGATCGTCCGGCGTCGTCTGTCCTCGTCAGCGCGTGCAACCCTATCGGACTTAGTTCTCTCAAGAACAGCCTGAGGAGAAAAAAAATGCTTATCGCTAGATTTATAACGTTGACTTGTCCGTTTGGTATACAATTTTATAATAAATCCGATAAACGAAAAATTATAGTAAGCGCCGTTGTGCGACGAGACGAGATTCTCGCGATCTCTAAAAGCGAAAGACGAATAAACGGAGGAATATGCAGGTAATAATTTAAAAATCAGGTGAACGTTTGATCAGGTCGATGATACGTCGATGCGAATAACAACTCCTCCATTTTCTTCCCGGTTGAATTGGATGCCGCGGGGCGCAGGAGAATAGGCGGAAGCGACTCGAGGATAATTACACATTCGACGACGCCGCTCCATTCCTCCTCGTCGCTGTTATCGACACCGGTTGTCCGCCGTTGCCCGGTGCCGGCGGTGCCCGTGTTCTGCGGCGAGCTGTTCATGATCGCGCGAGGACGTCTGTGGTGAGCACCCGGGTCGCTGCCGTTGCTGGGGTGCCATCAACACCACGGACAGGTGCCTCCACCGGGATTCGGCGAAGGGCCAACACGCGTCCCGACGCCGCACGACGCCGCGACGGCACGTCTCTGCCGCGGAGCGGTCTAGCCCGACTATCTCGTACGTTGTTCATCGCGCAGACGCGACAATATCGGCCTAGCACCCCACAGCGAGGTAAGGGGTTGGCGGGGATGAGTGCGGCGGTGTCGTCGACCGGGCCTCCCTTCCTCCTGCAGTCGCATCCCTCTGGTACCGTCGCGGCGCCCCCCGCGACGCTGGACAGGAATAAACGGAGATTTAAATACGCAGGGGCGCGCACGGATGCTGGATGAGGATCGAAACGAGGCGACGGCTATCGATCGGCCGACAGCCTTCGCTATCAAATATCTTGATTCCTGAATTTTTCACCCGTCGGTTTTTAGACACGCTCCGCGTGTCTTCTCCACTCATGTTGAATATTTGATATTTGACCGCGAGCAACTACAAGTCCGTTCTTCTTTAACGGCGCAACCACATTTTCTAACAGTTTCCTTGCTCTTGATGGTATCCCGCACACCGCGACAACACGGTGGACATTTATCTGTCTTGATGTCCCGCAGTTGTCTTGGCTGGCGTTCGTCGGCGCCAACAGAGCAGCGGATCCTCGCAGCTTCTCCGCTGCCATCGCCATTCTTGGGAGAGCACACGCATTTTACCTGTCGTCTATCCAACGCGGAAGCGATTCTCTTGCATAAATATACAGGGCTGTCATCGGCGCCCTTGAAAAGATACGGTTCCTTGTTGCGGGGGAGCTGAAATTGCGTGACAATCTTCTTGCCGAAGCACGAAGCGCGAATAAAGACCGTGACTTCGCCTACGTGTTGCCCTGTCGCTGTGGTAATTTTAAAAGCGTTCTTCATCGTTTTGTACGGATTTCGGCGCCGAGAGACGTGCGTGCCCAGCAGGCAGTTCATGAGGTCGTGAAGTTGGATCTGGTGAGTGCCTACGTCAAAGAATACGCCTTTATAATATTTCAATGAAACGCCAGTCTCTTGATAGAGTCTGATAACGAGGTGGCCCTTACAGAAAAGTACGAGCGAATAATTACTAGAAAATTACTGTATGTCAGTAATTGAACGTTAATTAACGTAAAAGTAACGAAATAATTACTTATAGAAAATTACCGCACGTCAGTAGTTTCTAATTATTCAATACTGATACACAGTAATTTTCTAGTAAGTGTTCTAGTCTAATTATTCTGTTACTTTTTTTGTATGAGGAAAGAAAGATAATAAAATTAAGTAGGCAAAAATACACAGACCGATTAGCATGACGTCTGGCAAAACTCCTGGCGGTAGTTCCTTGTAAACGGACATTGTTATGGGGAAGTTGCACAATGGTTTTCGCAGGACATTGTCGGGAAGCGCGAATAAGCAGGACTTGCCCTTTTGGAAGACTTGTGATCCACTGTGGATGCAAGCGCAAGATTCCGTCGGCGTTTCTTCGTAGATTTTGATAGGGGGCAGGTTCAATATCTGTAACGATTATTACAATAATATTAGCGAATTAATAAACGGATTAATAAGTACGGAGCTTTTACTTGGAAGGAGACGCATGTTCTGGCCGGCAATATCTCGTCGTAGATCGCCCGTATTGTAGGAATATTGACTGTATCGACTAAGAATTCTATCAAAATTAGTTGCCCTCCTTCCATTAGTTTATCTTTCCGTTATATCTTTCTGTGTAAGTTAATTAAGAGATTGGGCTTGACGCAACATCTATTTATATTTTAATGGAACTCTTTTTAATGGAAAATCAACAGCTTTGTTTGATTGTAGATTGCACTTTGCCAATTTTCTTGTTGTTTACATCACTTTAATTAATTTTGACCGCCATTGATGGTAAAAGATTTTAGGTTGACAATTATACAAATTATATACTGAAGTACGTTACGATTTAAATTTAAAAAGCTAAGTTCTCGATATTAGGAGAACATAATTTGTGAAACAATTTACTTGACTTTGATTTCAGGAGGTCCATTCTTGCAACACTGTAAAAATATTAAAAGTGAGCGGCTTTCTCTTTCTAAGGGGACAATTAGAAAGAGACAAAGCCGCTCACTTTTAGCATTTGCACTGTAGTGTAAGATACAGAATTGACCCCCAGATCTTGTATAATTTGCCCGTATAACGATATTTCTTTTTCTTATGCTTACTGCAATAATTTGTACAAAGAAACACGGTTGAATATACACACGTTTATTGCACAACAGTTGTATCAAAAATTCGAAAATTGGTAATAGGAAAAATATCGTCGTAAACACCGCGAAATAAATCCCTCGGAATGAATTCGAACTCATTAGGACTTGAATAATGAAGCGCGTCATTTCTTCTTCTTAATCTTCTTCTTCTTCTTCTTAATCTCCTTCGGCAGTTCCTCGTCATGCCCCTCTGTCTGTGCATCCCTGGTCTCATATCTAATCGGGGGTCTTCTTTCAGGTCCTTTCGGGGTTTTCATCTCTAGCTGTATGTCAGATTTCTCGCCGACGCCGACGAGGCCTTTCTTACCGATTCTCAAAACAAAAATATCATGGTCGGGATCCGGTGGCTCGTCCGGTTTTGTTGCGGCAGACTCTGCGGCGACTGTCACCGTGGGCTTCTTCCTGCCATTACCGTCGCCGCTGTCAAAGAGACCGGATACTTTGAGGACCACCGGCTTGCCGCAAGGCTGGGACGGACTATATTGGACAGGGCTCTTCGATAGCTGAAAAATTAGAGTTGACCTTAGACTCGTCTAATCAACCAGTTATTTCCTTCTCAAGTACGTACTCCAGTCTTTAATTTCCTTTCGCCCATCCTATCGTCTCCTTTCTTCCTTATTTTCTCATCCCTCTCTTCGACAGCCGCCAATTTTCCGCACGGTACACAAGGATACTTCTCTGGTACACACACGGGACAAGTTATCGGCTTTCGAAGATCCTCGCAGGAATCCTCGAAGATGTCGAGGACGCGAGAGTCCACTTCGCGACACTTGTACAACAAGATCTGATCGGCCTCTTCTGTGCCGAAGACGAATGTGGAGGGGTCCTGCGCGACCGGTGCGTCAAAGTCCGTGACGATCATCTGCCCGAGGCCCGAGATTCTTACGAAGACGTCCAGATTACCCGACAAGTTGTCATTGTAAGTCAACGGCACTTGTCCGTCAAATTCCTTGGATGTCCCGACACAATTCTTCCAGTCTTGCATCATTTCCAGTCGCAAAGCCGCGTACTGACCGGACAGGTCCAGCTCGCCAGTACCCACCAGGACATCCGGCTTGACGGCGTCCGGCATCTGCTTCTTCACCGTGAGTTTCAGGATCAGTTTTACCGTACGATTCGTAACCGCCTCGGAATCGACGGCGAACAGTACTGATTTTCCAACGTTGAACACTTCGACCTCGTTAGCGACGCCGGCCTGTGCTTGGAAAAGGGGATCCACCGGAGTCACGATCAGATTCTCGTCCACGAAATCGAGAAATCCAAAGTGAACGCTGGTAGGTACGAAAAACATCTGGTTCAGCTTGGCCAGGCGGTCGCCCGACGCCTGTTTCACGTACAACTCCAACAGGAACAGATAGTGCTCCTTGCATAGCCGCGGTGGGGCTTGCTCGTTGTTGTCGTACGCGAGCGTTTGGTCCTTCCCAGTTAACATGGTCGGTCAAAATTTTCTTCCGACAATACTACATAAATAGGTTACTCTTGGTAAACGACGTTTATTTATTGACGAATTTCTTCGTTAAGTAAACAATCCGCGAAATAAAATAGCGCAAAGCGCGCAGGAAATTCACTGGAGATAAATTTTAAACCACGAGAAATTGGTTGACAGCGTTGACAGCTGCGCACGCCTAAGTTCAAGTTTTAAATCTGCCTTTTAAATCAAATGATCGATAGGGAAATGGACGAGAACATTGTAAGCATATTAATGTATCACAGACATGTGGAATTAATTAACAACTGATTACTGTTAAAAGTTAAAAGTAAATATCAGGGTTACGTTTGTAGAGGAAAGTCCCGTACTATGAGATAGACTTCTAATACGAGATAGTAGGCTTTCATCCAAATTCAAATCTTTTTTTCGCAACGTTTGCACGATCCAACAGTGAATTTTCCACTAAGGCACATTTCATTGGAAATTTTGTCGTACGACAAATTTTTTAAGCGCGTTGACTACCTACAGGCTAGAAAATTTCTAGATCCTCGAGAACTTTCTTATTCTGGAGAGAGTCAATCGACACTCTTGAAAAATTTGTACGACAAATGTAACATTAGGCTCGGGGCCTGAGTAAAGCCAACGGCACACGATACTATTTTTCCTACTGGATTGCTTACGGAAGCCAATCAGGGTTCAGCCTTAAGTCACCTGATCTAAAACTCCACATCCTTAAGCCCGTATCAGACTACGGATTGAGATTAGATTGAAATTCGATCAATCACGGTAAAGTTTACTAATCTCAAGTTTAGTAAACTTTTACTCTAATTGACCAACTTTCAATCTAATCTCAATCGCAGTCCGTAGTTTGATACGAGCTTGGTTGGTTCTCGCAAGCAATTCAGTAGGAAAAATAGTACCGCGTGCCGTTGGCTCAAGTCGCAAGACATCAGGCTTGTTTTCTATTCCTACACTGGTGAACTGGTGCAGTAAATTAGAGTGAGACAAGCAAATTTTTTCTCATTCTAGCTTACTGCGCTAGCTCACCAGTGCAGGAACAGAAAACAAACCTATTGTCTTGAGCCCAAGGAACAATGAAAAGTCAAGATGACGTCAATTTGATGTCATATTGACCAAAGTGTGACATAAATTTGGTCAACGACATCAAATTGACGTCACCTTGACTTTTCATTTTTCTTGGGAAGAGTACAAGACGGCCATTCCGCTCAGGCCCTTACAATTACGAGCGGTGAAATTGCTCTCGACAAGAGTGTGGCGTACGAATGGATCTGCGAGTTACCGCGCGTGGCTTATCCGACGCGCCAGCGAAACCGTCGCACAAGCCCTCTTATCGTATTACCCGGCGTAATAACCCGGATATTTAATTTCAGGCACGGCCGGCGTTCTCACGCGAAACCGCCAATTCGTGGACCATTTGACCAGGCCTCGTCACGCGACCGTTTATACGCACAAGTCATCTTTTACGCGATCCTGTCCGACCGATTGGTCGTACGATCAATGTTTGATTGGACGAAATTGCGGCCCTCGCCCTGCTAAATGAGGACCAATTAATACCCCGAGACGGCCGTTCAAGTTCAGCAGAGGTACACACGCAGCTGGGCCCAAGAGACGCCCATTCTCCGGCGTCAAATAATCGAGTCGAGAACACGTGGGCCACGAGTTCCCCGGTAAGTTGGCTCAATTACGAAGCGTTACCGTCAATGCGCTCGTCTACCATTTTCCGCCGAACGTTGAAACTCACGTGTGTTCTTCTTGCAGGTCGAACGATGAGCGTTAAGTGGATCTCTCCAAGCAGAGTCTATTCGCCACGCCGTTATGAACGGCCTATATAAGGCACAGGCGTCGATTATCATTCGTCGGGGACGCGCGATAGCGAGAATCGCGTGTACCCCTCTTCGTGTTCCATGTATCGCGCGCACACAATAATGAATAACGCATGGCGCGCGTCGTCGCGGATAGCGGCATCGGCTCGCCGAATTTCATCATGCGGCCGGGCGCGCACTCGAATCGCGGAGTCCGCTAGGCCACGTGCAGGCCAGACTGTTATTGTTAGACGCCTTCGCGCGGCCGCCGTTTCTGGCGCGTCACGCGATACGGGTTTGGGTGTGTGGAAGCTCCGCAAGTTCACACCCTTCTTCTTTTTCCTCCACCGGTCTCTTCCGAGGCTCGATCTCGTGAATCTTTTCATCCGGCGCGAACTCGTGAAAAGCGGAAGATTTCATTGACGAATCTCGCTATTCGTCAACGAAACGCTTCACGAATTCACGCGAGAGGATTTACGACTGTGCTCCGGGTCTCACTCGGTTCCAGGGTGTGCGACGAGACCTGGCGAGACGAAGCGGCGGACGCGACGATTCCTGAGAGATCACGAAGGATCTGTAGCGCTCACGAGCTCACTGAAATTTCGCGCATCCGTAGAGCGCACCTAAGAATACATCTAATAGATTCGAGAGAGTATTCTCGCCTCTATATCTTTGCGGCATCCCCCGAATTTATTCCCAGAATTTACACCGTGCGGCGAAAGCGACGGAGTTCGCGGCGGAAAGAGCAATCGGCGGAAATCGATAACGGCCGAGCGACGACCTCTGCCACAAAGCCTCGGAAGATGGCGGCGGCGGCGGCAGCGGCGGCGGCGGCGGCGGCGGCGAAGACGCGGTGGTGAAGGAGGCGGCGAGCGGTGGAAAGTAGCCAAGTAATCAACTCGCGGCGGCGGCAGTCGACGGCGGTCTTTCGAACGACTCGTGGAACCGCGTGGGCACCGTATGAGAACCGCGCGCTCCGTAACTCGCGTACGGACAGGCCTGCGCCCAGGAATGAGGTAACCGCGGCGACGGGCTCGATTCTTAGGCGTTCTCGGCACGTAGAGACTATCACCCGGCGAGCGGCTCGGCACACAGGTGAGCGTTCCGCGTTCCGCGTCGATCGATCCTTCGATTCCCGCCGTCGTGCGTCGTGGCAACAACGAATAAACGGGAAAAGCCCCCCGGCTCTCCGTCCTGTGACCCTCGGTTTTCCCGCGCCGATATTTTCGGATCGTCATGCGCACGTGAATCCTCCGCTGCGGCGATTGTGCGACGAATTCGTGGAACGGTAGTTGGATTCCGAAGCGAAAAGACGAACAGCAAGTCACGTTGCTGTATAAAAAAAAGGAGAAGATACCACGGTTGCGCGAAGCAGGCGTAATGGATCGATGTATGATTTTTTTCTGCCCCGAGTATATGCAATTCCGTTCTACGCATCTATTGCCGTTTTCTTGTAGAAGTAAAAATTGACGACTATATAAGAAGCGCAGGTAGAAATATTTCTCGCGCGGAGAGAACTTTCTCTTAAAATTTATCCTGCAAATCATCGTGGAACGGCGTGGCATTTCGAAGAGTTCTATGAGGAGTTTAGTGAGATTTTACCGTGCATTTTACTAGTGGAACGTGTGGCGAAATTTCAGAGAACTCTCCTAAAGTTGTTCAAAATGCCACGTTGTCCCACGATTGCATGATCTTCGGGGTAAATTTTAAGAGAAAATTCTCCCCGGGTGCACGAAAAGTTTCTCCCGCGCTTGTGATTTGCATGTTCATACAATATTGCAAATTACGTACCTACATTCGTCGTTATATACTTTTGCCAACGTTAATGTTGCCGCAGCGCTGCAATTATTTGTGACATTATCGCCATTACATAATGTATGTACACAAGTAATGGAAGATATAATCTATTCGCCCATATCTCAAGTACTTCCCGATTATGTACCGCCAAAATGAGTCACGGGTATATCGAGTATTTCCTTAAGCTCGACAGCTGCTCGCGAAAGAAGTCACGGCACATGGAGTAGCCGCGACTTGTATGGCCACGGCGTCTCGTATCTTGCACGCCAGTACATTCGGTATGATGTAACGGAGCGCTGATATTTCGGACGGTCGCCGGTAGCCGCTCGGCCATGCCTCCTCGGCGGGCGTCATGGAAAAAGAGCGGCGTTATCGCTCGGCAAATTTAACGAAACGTAATAAATTGACACAGGTGTGACCGGACGAGCCGGATGTGCGGGCGGAAAGAAGAGATAGCGGCGGCTTTCGTGAGGCAGGTAGCGGCTTTCGGAGCCAGGTGGTAAACCAGTTTAGCGGTTCTCATATTGTGTCAACACTCGTGCTTCCACGAAGGATGATATCTAACATCGCCGTTAGATCTTCTCGCGATCTCGCACAATCCCGTCGCATTCCGCGGATATTCACTTTCCGCATTTTGCCGTTGTCGGTAATGCGCTAACACGTTTCTTTTTTTTTTAAGTGTGAAATATCACACCGGCGCGGACCATGAGCAATGTTGTGACCGATTCGAAGACGCGCGGGGCGAATTTGCTGATTCGCAACATCTGAAACGGTAATGCGAAAACCGATATGTCGCATTCCTGCGGGGAAAAGTAAAGTGCCCGCGGAGCGGGTCCGATTTCATCCTTCTCCAAGAAATCGAGTCCTACGGCGCACTAAATTCTCGCGTGGTCTTTTGTCCTATAAATGTCATCGAGTCCGGCATTCATCGAATATATTTAGCGTCTCCCTGTACAGGTATCTTTAGCTCCAAAGTGCCTCGTGTCGTCTGGATCTTATCTATATCGTGAAATATTCCTCACGACTTCCTCAAACGTTCCGCGAGCTCCAACTTTTATCATGTCGATAGAAATAGTGACCGGCGAGTTGGGCCAGTTTTGAGGGGGTAAACCGCCGAGGGCATTGTGGCGTACAGATTTTGCGTATTGCTAGGCATTTTTGGGGCATTGGCAGGTGTTATTTGGCCTTGCTGGGACATTATAAAAAATCTAAAAAGATAAAATAAGATAAAGTAATGCCCACTGGGCACTAGTAGGCGTACATCATTTTGGTCAGCGGTTTACCCCTCGGTCAGTTTTGTTGCCCGTCGCGAGAAAAACTGACGGCAGTCGTTACTTATCACGGAAAGAACTAGTGTAGCTGCCGTAGCTAAAAATCGCACGCGGCAACTAAATTTCAGTTGTAGAATACGGACAGCTAATATTTAGTTGCGGTGCTAAATATTTTGCCACTGTGCCTGTTCTGTCGGACGCGACAGCAAGCCGTTTCCTGTGGTGTAGAAATTTCTAGTTGTGGCAGCAAAATATTTTCAGCAAACCACGATCAGCTACGGTAGCGAAAATTTTCCTTTCGGTGTATAAACACTTGAGGAATCAATGCAGTTTACGCAGCTCCAATACTGACCTGTGTTGTTGTGCGTGTGTATATATATTTCACCTAGATAGCTCCCGGCGTTCGCCTCGTTTTTTTTTCCCCACTCATTGTCAGTTCGACGGTTTATGAACCGTTTATCGTTGACCCGTTGGCGCGCAGTAGAATCGAAAGCTTTCAATCGCGGAGAGCGGCAACCCTTCGAGCGGTAACTTCTGATAACTGGAACAGATAGTCACCATGTCGACTTGCGGTTTCTCAAGGACGTTATTTGCAATTTGATTACAGTTTTGCTGGATTATCAACCGGTTCCTTATCGCGACACTCTGTGCTTATTCTCAAATTATACTTTCAAGAAGAATTTTATTTAAATAAAAATAGAAGTAACGATAGAAGTAGAAGAAAGTCGCCTATTATGGGATAGCGGGATTTCTGTTAAATTAAATAGGCGTCATCGGTTGATTCCACCATGAATTTATTGCCCTTGGAGCGAAACTGTTTAGTGGAGAATTCATTGCCAGACTGTGTAATTGTTGCGAAAATAGATCTGCGGTTGAATTTGGATGTTGAAAACCTGCTATCTCGTATTAGAAACCTATCTCATCATGGAGGACTTCCCTCTATCACAGGCGACGCGTGTAGATAATAAGTAAACTTGGCCGGTTCATTTGGAACTTATTTTTACGCAATATTTTGTCCATTTTGTCCATTTTGTCCGCGGCCATTTAAAATGCAATTATTCAGACAATTATTTCAATCATCAAAGTCACTTAAATGTTCAGTTGCGCGTGCGTAGTCGCCGTTTTATTCTACGACAACCAGTATTACGCTACGTAAGTGTTCGCGTGTTAAACACATGCGACCTCAAGTTTTTTTTTGCGGTTTTACGCAAACGGTTATCATATTTCTCGCGGCCGAACGATGAACGAGTGGTAGGACAGGCTGCGGAAGATTCTCTCGCGATTTTGAACAGCTCGCGCTCCGCTCTGCGCGCCTAAAATTAATCTCCTTTTCAAAACTTGGCGACAAGAGCGTGAGCGCCACGTGCCATTAAATCCACCTTGGTTCTACAGAAATTGTGCGTTTTTTTTCGCTGGCCAACTGGAAGGGGGTCAGATCAGGGTTGATCGCGTTTTAGGTGCAAAATTAACCGCAATTAATAGGAAGTTAAGCCGTAGGTTTAACGACCGACCTAGCAATTGCCGAGCGGGTAAAAGAATCAGCTAATGACACGTTAATTGTTCAGACTTATTACGGCAATTTGGACAGCTCCGCTCTCGTTGTCTGCTCTCGTGCCTCTCGTAACTCATCTCTTTCTTCACTAGGTCGCCCGCATAACAATGAGCTCTTTCGATATCGCATTGAGACGAATAAGACAATCGGCCTAATCTCGGGTCGGATCGGACGCGTGCTCTGTGGTACACCAGATACGCTTAGACCGCGGACCTTGTTCTACAACCTGGAGCTTTCTATTCCGTCATGAGCCGGCCAAGGATCCGTCGCAATTTTTCCGCGCATATCGACCTCTAATTATCTCCCGTCTGATTATCTCGCGGGTTTAAATGCCATTTGATGTAGAGTTCCGGCCGGATCATGTTCGGATAATGGGCGAGCACAAACAACGGGGATAAGATCAATGCCGATTACGACGGCGTTGGGTAATCATATGTACTTTCGGCAAGTGTATATCGATATCAAATCACCTAACTAAAGCAAATAAGTTGATAAATACGCTTCCGTCCGTTCGCTCACGCAGGACGTTAATCGAAAGGAGACGGAAAGACGTCCGGGAACGTTGAAAATAGAGTAGAGTTCGGAGGGTTGCCTCGCCGGCGATTAGTGAGTCGTTCTTGCCACTATTTTTACCCTCGATCCTAATATCCGAACTTATACTCGACGGCCAGCAGCTGCTATCGTAACGGTGCATTACCGATTCTACCGTCAAGGCTTTGCGAGTGCGTTGCGGAGGGATGCGATTTCAACGTGAAGAATATATCAGTTCGTTTTAACTGGAGTCCCTCCAATCAGAGTCCGGCCGACAGGCCAGTTTCGGCAAAATGATGCGAGAGAGAAAGAACAGCACATGCTGTTTGTAGAGTGAGAGGAAATGTCGACTGATCTCTTTCGCAAGGTCGTATCTCAATTTTACATTTTTTTACGATTTTTCTGCTCAAACACTCATTTAGGACCAGAATGAGCGTTTAAAGAGAAAAGCCGGAAATTGCGTAAAATTGAGATGCGACCTTGCGAAAGAGATCGGTCGATATGTTTCTTTCTCCCTCGCATCATTTTGCCGAAACTGGCCGGACTCTGGTTAAAAGGACTCTAGTTCTAACGTACATGGGAAATATTTGCAATCTTCACCGCGAACTCTTCCATCTCTGTTCGATTCTGTGTGCTATACACGTTATCTGTTCATTAATTATCCTTGGTATGTCAACATTTTAACTATTACATTAGCAAGAAGACATTGAATGGAAATGACGATGATTATAATTAAAAAATAAGTAATAATGACTCGCAGAAAAGCCCAAGAACATTCGCGTATTTTAATTCTCAGAAAAATTGTTACTCGCGAAAGATCTTTCAAGAGAACGTCGTTTTGTAAGAAATTCTCTACATGGAGAGAATTCTCTTACAGTTTATCCTGAAAATCATGTAATCGTGAGACAACACGGCATTTCGACGAGTTTTTTTTATATTTTGACCATACCTTTTACTAGTAATTATACTTCGTATGGTAAAATTTCAACAAACTTTCATAAAGCTCTTCGAAATGCCATGTTGCCCCACGATTACTTGACTTTCAGGGTAAATTTTAAAAGAAGATTCTCTCCGTGTACTCTGGAAAGCCCGAGCGCGCCACTCCTTCGTCTCCCATCTGCCCTTTGCCTCTTCTAATAATTAAAGTGTCAGATTATCGCGTTTTATCTACGCTCGCACATACGCGCGATTGTTTACTTTCGTCCGAGTTCACGAACCCGGAAGTGGCGAAAGTGAACGCTCTTTTGTACCACATGTATGATACAATTCTGTCCAGTGTGATTAAATCGTGGCGAATTCAGCGCAAGTGTCTAATCACACTGTAATTCGATGTTCGGCAAATGAAAATGGAAATAGCCATTTTTCGCTGAATACTCAATCGCCATGCTTTAAACTTCCCTCCAGTTTAATATTTGTGTGTTTATCTTTTTTAGTGCAAACTTAATTTTCTTTTAAAACCGAAAATTACGACAATGACGAGAGTCAATGGTGACAAGTGCGAAAGAATAATGGTAGCGAGTCAATAATATCTTTTGCGATAAGGCGTAACGAACACATCTATCAGAAATAACTGAAAACGTGGGACTGAAAATCGTAGCAACTTTGCATAAGCAATTTACACATCTATTCACTTGTCACAAGTAACAAATAACGATACTGCAGATTGTAGCCCTGGAGTTATCGTACGTGCGCCGGTTTTTCGCCTTTACATCACAAAAGTCTCAAAGTTGAAGGTCACGCTTCGGAAGATAAGAATTTACGTAATAAGACAGACCTGAGTATGGCATTTATATATAATTGGAATCGGCAGGAATTCTGTTTATTAACTTACCGCGTATCGAGACTGCAATATTTTAAAGATGTGCAACAACGTCAACATAATGCAATACCAGAGGAGATAAAGTGTACAAACACAAATTACGGGATTGCGATAATGCGCTCATAAATTTGTCGAATCCACTCGAAATTTTCGCAAGGCTACGTAATCCAAGTACTGATAGTCTTTCGTATGTGTTTCAGGTGACAGATAATACATCAACACACGTGGCCACAATGGTAAGCTTCGAGCCAACACACAGCTTATCTGTGTTGTTTGCGTATATTTATAATTTATTCACGTCTTTATTTGCGTCACAATTATCTTACGCAACTGATTCCCGCTACTGATGTCATCTCATGCCATTACAATAAACACATTGCACTGTAATCTTGCTTTTAACATAGACCGACGCAAGCGAGAAGCCGCCGACAGAGTTGGATACCTTTCTGCCTCAAGATGGATCCGTTCTCAAGGACGGCGTCCTGTCCGCCAAGTAAGACACCTTGATTTCATTTGAAAACATTAACTGACAGTAGCAGAAATATCGCATATAGGTGTGCGCAGAACATAAATCACTAAGACCTTTGCATTCATTTGTATTTCAGATATAAAGTCCAAGTTGCGCCGCGCGATGTTGAGACCGCAGTGGGCGACGAAAAGAGTTTCGATCCCTTCGCGGAACGCAAGGTCGCCAATCCTACAACGTGAGAGTCAATCTTTTTCATTTTATGCATTCTCCCCGTTCTACGAAGGCCCAGTGTCGCACAAAGAATAAATACCGCACATTACGAGTTCTACATAACAGATGGTCATACATCATTAATGATATCATCCAATTAAAGTAATAATTTTATTCTCTCCTGTAATAAAGGTCAAATGGATTAGATTAAAACATGTATGTTAGACGTAAATTCCGTCCAATTTAAACTAGACGTATTATTCCTGTTAACTTTTCATTAACTTGTTTTATTTTTAACAATTTCGATAATATGATTTGATTGCCACGAGCAATTAAACCTGCACCGAGTTATGCCCGAGCAATGTATGAAAATAAAATGCCCGCAACTGATGCTAGCTCTTCGCTAGGAATACGAATGTTTGAGTGGTGAAGTACAGCTGGCATAATGTTAACATATTGTAAGTTCACAGTTAAAGAGAGAACACATCGAATGGGCATACTGTTAACAATAAGTTAGCATACGTTGTTTTCAATTTTCTCACAAATATAAACATGTTATATCTATTACATCTGGCCAAGCACTTGATGCTGGTATAATATTTGGATCATGCAAATGTTTAATTTCCGATATCAAATGCAAACAGCAGCACAATAGTCGACATAGATGCATAGCATGCTAACTTGTTAGCAACTTGTGTTCACACTGGCCATCTGGGATAGTTATTAATTTGTAACGATTCGATTAAGGTGTAAAAGCAACTATGACACTTTCAGAGATTGCGACACATTGACGCACTTACTAAAAGCCTCTCTTGGTACTGGAATACTGGCTATGCCCATAGCTTTCAAAAACTCCGGACTGCTCGTGGGTGTCTTCGCCACGATACTCGTCGCATTCGTGTGCACACATTGCGCGTACATTCTGGTGAGTTTCTAGAAAATAAGATTTAAGTATTCAGTCATGTATAGTTATTGCCGCGGATAATCTGGTTTAACGACTTTGTAAGATAAAACTGAGTAACTTATAATTTCCAGGTCAAATGTGCGCACGTTCTTTATCACAAGACCCGAAAGACGGACATGGGATTTGCTGAAGTTGCCGAGACAGCTTTCAGTATCGGACCTCCATGGGCGAAGATATTCGCGAAACCTTCCAGGTTACCAGCTTTGTTCCTCGAAAGACACAATTGATTTCTTCAGCAACTTGCTTACCTACCGCATAAATTTCCCCTTCGCTTACAGATATCTTATTCAAGTCAGTCTGTTTACCACATACTACGGTACCTGCAGCGTATACACAGTAATCGTGGCCGCTAATATCAAGCAGATCATCGAGCATTACCAGGGAGTTGATGCCGGCGACTACAACATCCGTTTACTCATCGCTTACTTGCTGGTGCCGCTGATCCTTCTCAGCTGGATACCCGACCTGAAGTATCTCGCGCCAGTTTCGATGGTAGCGAACATCTTTATGGGAACAGGACTAGGAATAACACTTTACTACCTCGTTTGGGATTTGCCACCGTTATCTTCAGTGCCTTTAGTAGCTTCGATAGAGAACTTCCCGCAGTTCTTCAGCATCACTATTTTCGCGATGGAGGCGATTGGCGTGGTGATGCCCCTAGAAAACAACATGAAGACGCCGCAGCACTTTGTGGGAATCTGTGGGGTTCTCAACAAGGGCATGTCCGGCGTTACGCTTGTATATATTCTCCTTGGGTTCCTCGGATATGTCAAGTACCAGGACGACACGATGGATACCATCACTCTAAATCTACCGACGGAAGAAATGTAAGAGTTCAAGTCGACGGAATTGTAACTTCATGCAACAACGTGTATCTTGCCTGACTTTCTCTATCTTCGTCATTGATCATTTCAGAGCGGCGCAAGTTGTGAAGATACTGATTGCTCTAGCCATCTTCTGTACCTATGGCTTACAATATTACGTGTGCCTTGATATCGTGTGGAATGGTGTAAAACATCGCTTCGAGAAGAAGCCGCTCTTAGCCAATTATATCATAAGGACGCTTCTAGTAACAGGCACAGGTACAATATCCTGAGAGATCTTATTTTTTACCTACAAATTGACGATGTACTATGGAATAATTATTCTTGTCACAGTTATCCTTGCCGTGGCAGTGCCAACGATCGCACCGTTTATCGGCTTGATTGGTGCATTTTGTTTCTCCATTTTGGGCCTCCTCTTTCCGGTTTTTATCGAGACCGTAACTTACTGGAACGTGGGCTTTGGGCCGGGGAACTGGGTAGCCTTGAAGAACGTAATTATATGCGTGATAGGCTTGATGGCGGTAGTATTTGGATCACGCATTGCTATAATGGATATAGTGAAATTGTACGCTTAATAGAAAGAGTGTTTTCCATTTTCTTTTTCATCTAATGAAAATATTTCGATGGATTTGCAATGAATTAGATTTGCCCTCGATATAACTAACGGTATTTTAGAACGAATCAAGTATCACATTATATTCGCGGGCGGATATCTTTGAGTTTCTGGACAGAATCGCTGTATTTAAACTGCGTACATTAGCTCAGATTTTTTTTATATTTCCTAACAGTAATTTTCTAAGAGGAGCATCAAAGACGTTTAGATCTATGCTGGTCCTAATAGGATTTTTTTTTAAGAATTAATATATTTTTTATTCTCTCCTACATACCTGAATAAAAAATATAGAAAATTATCAAATTTTAAAAATAACGTACGGCTATATATTATAAGGTAGAAATGAAAAACAAATATAGATTTTTAGGAGCAATGGCAGTATTCATTTAACAGGTGAGGATGCAAAGTAACGAACGATCGTGATAATAAATGATCGTGATCGTGATGTGCGAGTGTATCCTAAAGAATATGTGAAGTTTCTGTAGGAAATAATTTTTATATTATCGGAATGTTACATTATTTCATTTTTACATGAAAGTTTCGCATTTATAATTGAAATTTTAGAAATCTCAAGCTAATTTATCAAGCTAGGAAAATGCTATTTACAATCTTACTTTGAAGAAAGATATTTTAATAAAAAAACTTGTTTAGCGCATATTTTTATTAAGTTTGCTCAAATGTGCAATATAATATCAATAATGTATCAATTAAAAAAACAAATCAAAAAATATTTTTTTGAACACCATTGAAGGATTTGGAACTGCATTCCGACGAAAATCGCAGAGCTTGCATGGAATGCATGCGTGATATTTGTATGGAAAAAAAATGTTGCTCAAGCAAAGTGCTTCACGCAGTCTTCCTGCATTTAAAATTTACGTCAATATATACCTTTCGGAATTGACTACACGTAGGAAACACACACACATACACACACACACACACATATATGTGTACACTGTTCCTTTTTTTACAAGTGGTCGTTTGTATCGATATAAAATTTTTACTATTTGTAATAGAGTTTGTAACACATGGCACTGGCTGGAGTTACGTAAAATACAAATAATTTTACATTTTGTAAAGACGGTGTTTTGTTCCTCGTGTCACTCTCCGTTCATCTCACACGAGGGTTAAACCGCGGACCAAAATCACGTACATACACTAATGCCTACTAATGCATAGTTGGGCATTACTTTATCTTGTTTTATCTTATTTTATCTATGTACCGCCTCAGCATTATCTAATACCCAAAAATGCCTAGCAATGCCGCAAATCTGTATTCCACAATGCCCACAGTGGTTTACATCGACCTCAAATTTGAGCATCCAACGCTGTTGCCACAATACGAATACGTTTTATCATCCCCGAATCGTATGAGAATTAGAAGAAAAATAATTCCAATATTCTAGCAAGAAAACATTCGTTTAATCATTCTTCTCTCACAAACATACTTATCACATGAGTATCATTACAAGCTAAAATACTGAGACTACAAAGGACAGAACAGAATAGACTTTGTTCTGTGATCAATTTCCGTGTATAACAAGAGTGGGATTATGCACACTTTAGGTGTCTCATGAGCAGTCTATTAGATGATGTCCATTTAATAACGGCACAACAGTCGGAAATCATTTCTCTAGCGGCGCGTAGTTGAGTAGCTTCTCAATCAGATCCACGTGTCCAAGCAGCATCCTGCGGCAGCAGTATCTTTTCAGACCTAGCGCGTCCAAGGCGTCTCTACAACATACAAATAAATCGTAACCACATTTCCCCTGTTTCTCTCATTTCAGATATTAGCATTAGGATAACGCGCTAGACGATTATCAAGGAGAGGGAAAATGTATGGTACATAGATTTTTACGTTGTTTTTTTGCAGGAACGCCTTTCAACCGTTAGGTCATATCAGCGGGATATTTCTAAAAATTCCTTGAACTTCACGCTTAGGCTGATGG